CCAGGCCACACTCTGAGCACCCCTTAGGGTCCCTTCTTTCTCCCAGCTGCCAATCATTTTCTGTCCCTACTCAGTTTCAAGCCTGATACTCCAGACAGAACCAGATGTTTTAAAGGTAGCCATATACGGTTATTCAACATTGTACAACTTCTAAAAATTCTCTCTTGAGAAAAGGCATCTTTTCCCAGTTCACATATGGGCTGGCAGCAGCCCTGACTTGCTGGATTGGGGAGAAAGAGGAGAGAGGTCTATCCACCTTCCTTAGCCCCTAGGAGAGACCCCTGGGCCTCAGTTCCTCTCTAGCCCCAGAACCCTGTGCTACAGCAGAGAGGGAGGCTATGGTCTGTTCTCTGCCTCCTCAACAGAGTGATCAGCCCTGCCTGTGGCCAGAGGCGCCTGGGACCTTGCTGGGGACAAGCCGGCAGTATCCTGCAAGCCAGAGGCAGCCTCTGCAGGCACACTGAGCCGGGCCTCTGCCTCCATGGCTGGGCCTCAGCTTGGGGGTGGGGCTTTGTGGCCTGAGGCCCTTCTCACCCCACTCTCTCTGCCCCTACCCACAGGAGAAAGACAGCTGGAACCGAGTGGCCCGCACAGTGGACCGCCTCTGCCTGTTTGTGGTGACGCCTGTTATGGTGGTGGGCACAGCCTGGATCTTCCTGCAGGGCGTTTACAACCAGCCACCGCCCCAGCCTTTTCCCGGGGACCCCTACTCCTACGACGTGCAGGACAAGCGCTTCATCTAGGGTGGGCCTGTGGGGGAGCCAGGAGACAGCAGGGTCTGAGAGAGGAGCCATGGTCCCTAATGAGACCCACTCATAGCCCTGAGGCTCACGCCCCTCAGACTGGGGAAGAGTCCAAGGAAGGAAGGGAGCAGCCACTCCTCAATGCTCAATGGCTCCCCTGAAATCAAGACAGGGCCACCTGAGATGGTCTGAGGGTGGACACCGGCTACAGCAGGTGGGCAGGACGATCTGTGGGGAAGTAGGAGGCTGGCTCAGGGGCCAGGGAGGAGGCCACTCAGGGTGGCCTCACAGGGAGAACTCTGATAGGGGTGAGACAGATAGGGCCCCTTCTCTGCTCCTCCTCTCGCAAGGTGTGGGGTAGAGCAGGCAGGAATCTGCGCCTTCACTCCCTGGCTCCTCCAGCCTCCCTCTTCCCACCTACCCTTCAACCTCAGGCTTCTGAGGCCTCACCTGGGACTGAGGTTGAGGACACCTCCCTCCCTCCAGACCCCAGAGTCTCCTTTCCTAGCTCTTTCTGCCTTGACCACTCTGCCTAGGTCCCTTTGGGAAGTTGAGGACTGGAGTGGAAAGGTCAGGATTGACATCCACAAAGACTTGGGGTCAACCTGAGGTTGCACACACAATCCTAGAGGACCGGAATGCAGCACCTCTCCCCAAAGGGCCCCTGCCCCCCAGCATCTACTCCTCCCCAAAGTAGGGTTGTCATGCATTATTTGGGGCATATTCTAAAAAAATCATTCGTTGTTTCTCTGAAATTTGTCCTGTATTTTTATTTGCTAAATCTAGCAACCCTATCCCAAAGACAGCCTCCATTCAATCCTATCCTGAGGGCCAAAGGCCAATACTGCAGGAATTGGGAGACAAGGGTCTGTTTGTATGGCAGCCCACCTCCAAGATGGCCCCGGTGATAGCCAGTATTCACACTCTTGTGCAGTCCCCTCACTCTGTACCAGGGTGGGTCTGGGTAACCAACAGAATGAGGCAGAAGTGATGGTACCTCACTTCCCAGATTCAGTTAGGAAAGGCACTAGGGCCTCTTTCTGGATCATTCACCCTCATTCTCACAGCAGTTGGATCTCTCACTTTGGGGAAGCCAGCTGGCACGTTGAGGAGCCCTATGGAGAGGCCCACACGGCAAGGAAATAAGGCCTCCTGCCATCAGCCACGTGAGCGAAGGTGGAAGTGGATCCTCTGCCCCAGTAGGGCCTTTGGATGAGATCACAGCCCAGTAGACATCTTACGTGCAGCACCATGAAAGTCCCTAAGCCAGAACCACCAGCTAAGTGGCTCCTGGATTCCTGATCCCCCAGAAACTGTGTGAGATAATAAATGTGTGTTGTTTTAAGTAACAAAGTTTTGGTGTCATTTGTTATACCAGCAATGTGACCTTGAGTGAGCTGCTCTTCATCTCTTACCTTCCATTTTCTAATCTGCAAAATGTGTGTCTAGTGAGTCCTAGTCATGGGGTGTTGTGAAAATTGAATTTCTAGTAGTAGTATTTTCATGTGACCTGCACATTCAATGGGTGGTGATTTAACCCATTTCCCTCAGTGGGGAATTGGTGACCTCATTAACTCAGATATATAGAAGGTGAGATTTTTAATGTTTAGATGTAACCAAGGAAAAAGAAAAACCATTTAAAACCAAAACTGACCCCAGTAACTTCTGCCTTCCAGCATGAACTATATTCACAAAATTCAAGGTACAAATCTTTTATTTTCCTGTCTAAATAGGAAAGCCAGTTTGTTCTCACACCCGTCAGGTGAGCAGGAAGTCTGAGACTTCGCCAGGAATAGTCCATCAACTCAGGGAGGGTCCGTCTTAAGTACAGGGATGAGAGTGAGTCTAGGGCTCTCAGCCACAGTCTTTGCTTCTCTCTGCCTCATGGTGGCGCTGCTGGCAACAGGTCTTGGTTCAACCACCAGCTGAGTCCTCAGTTCTATTAGGCCCTGCTCAAGTGGCTGTGGACTTCCAGAGAAGACAACCCCAAAATGTCACACAAAACTGGGGGGGTGCCTCTTGCACAGGCTCCCAGGGAAACCACGGTTTCCACCAGCAGCACCCGCTCCCCCAGCACCGTGGTGCTCTCAGGACTGGTCCACTCTGACTGACATGGAACTCCATATTCTGTCCCCAGGAAGTCATGCTCATGGGCACAGCTTTCCGGGAAGCCATAGGGTGTTCCTTACTCTCTCCAGACCAACAGGGCTACCTGCTCTCTTTCAATGGACAGTGAATCAGTAATACACTGGGATGCAAGGAACAGAAAGCTCAAGGAATTGTAGTTTAAACACAAAAGGTTTCCTTTTTCTCACATAATAATAGGGAGGCGGAGGTGATCACATCGCCTCAGCTGTCTAACAAAGCTATCAGGGACCCAGGCACTTTGCCATCTGCCCAGCCCTGCCTCCATGGCAAGCTGGCTTCTGTCCTCAGACCTGTTGGCCCCAGGTTGCGAGCTGACAGCAACAGCTGCACAATTAGCACCTATGTTCAGGCAGAAAAGGGCCAGCCATTTCTGACCCCTTTCATCAAGAAGCAAAACTTTTCCAGAGGCCGGACATAGTGGCTCACGCCTGTAATCACAGCACTTTGGGAGGCCAAGGCGGCTGGATCACCTGAGGTAAAGAGTTCAAGACCAGGCTGGCCAACATGGTGAAATCCCCTCTCTACTAAAAACACAAAAATTAGATGGGCGTGGTGGTGCCCGCCTGTAATCCCAGCTACTCAGGAGGCTGAGGCAAGAGAATCGCTTGAACCCAGGAGGCAGAGGTTGCAGTGAGCCGAGATCAAGCCATCGTACTACAGCCTTGGCAACAAGAGTGAAACTCCATCTCAAAAAACAAACAAACAAACAAAAAATAACTTTTACATAAAGTCCCTGCAGACATCCCACAGGTTAAAACATCACATGGCTAGCCTATCTGAAGGGAGACTAGGAAATGAGTATTTTGCTCTACCAGCCATTATAACAGAGGGTGGCAAAGGAGTAGTGTTAGACAATTCTACAGATGATTTTCTCTGAATGGTCCTGTCCCTGCACACGTAACCCCTCCAAGAAACTGCCATTCCTCATTGATGATTTACCCTTCGGAGAACACCAAGAAGGCTTCTAGGCCATCTCTCCCAGAGCAGGGAGAGGGAGAAAACAGGAGGGTCGGGGGCAGGGAATGCAGGGACAGGTGGTCCACTGTTTGGCAGTGCTTCCTGATCTTGGAGGCCATTGATGAATTTGGTAAAGTGTGGGCATAAAGGAGAGTAAAGAGGTGGAGAGAAAATGGTCTGCAAAAGAGGATAAGAAAACTGCATCTAGGGGGACCAGAGGGCAAAATGGAAAGGCAAGGGTCTCAGAAGTGAGGACACAAGGGCTTTGTAAATTCCAGGAAAAGTGGGCCACACAGAGAGAAGCTCAGTGGCGGGGGAGGGGTGAGCTTCCCCCCCCCACTGAGGGGAAGCTCAGGGAGGGGGAAGCTCAGGGAGGAGGAAGCTCGGGGTAAGGGAAACCCAGTGAGGGGGAAGCTTAGGGAGGGGGAAGTTCAGGGAGAGGGATGCTGAGTGAGGGTGATACCGAGTGAGGGCGATGCCGAGTGAGGGGGATGCCGAGTGAGGGGGATGCGCAGTGAGGGGGATGCCCAGTGGCAGGCCAAGATGGGCGGATCACTTGAGTTCAGGAATTCAAGACTGGCCTGGCCAACATGGTGAAACCCCGTCTCTACTAAAAATACACACACAAAAAAAAAATAGCCAGGCATGTTGGCACGTGCCAGTAGTCCCAGCTACTCAGAAGGCTGAAGTAGGAGAATCGAGGTGGAGGTTGTAGTGAGCCAAGATCGCACCACTGCACTCCAACAAAAAACAAACAAAATCCTCACATGCCTACCCAACAGCCTTCACACACACCCAAATCCTGACTCCCTAGAGGGAGCAGGAGGGAGTCCACCTCAGCCCTCTCTGGAGCTGCCATCAGGTTCCTTGGCAACCTGCCTTCCCTACCACACCCAGCTGGCCCTGGCTGTGTCCTTGGCCCCCATGTGGAACACAGAGGTGGGGCTGGGACAACTGAGCCCGAGTTGGGGCTGGAAGGTGGATGTCTCTTTTGGGGCAGACGGGGCCCCTGTCTCCCCTCTCCAGCCCAGGTAATCTGAGCCCAGCATTGTGTCCATCCTGGAACAGCTGACAAGGCTGTGGTCAGACAGCTGGTGGGGCTGGGCTGGGTTGGCTGGGCTGACTGGGGTGGGAGTGTAGGCTGTTATATGACACCCAGAGCCCATCTCTCTCTGCCCCAGACCTTGGAGCTGTTGTCCCACCCATCACTGCAGAGAGCTGAGGCGCCATGCATGGGGGCCAGGGGCTGCTGCTCCTCCTGCCGCTGCTGGCTGTCTGCCTGGGTAGGACACAAAGGAATCTCAGCCTAAGGAGTCCCAGAGCTGGGGTCCACGGCCTCAGGGGATGGAGAGCCTGAGGACTATTGGGGCCTGCCCTGGATCCAGTTCCCTGAGTCTCCACTTCACACCCCCAGGGCCTCCCCAATCTTTCCGCTTCCAAGCTCCTGCTAGGCTCACGCCTGTCTATTGCAGGGGTCCAGGGCCGGAATCAGGAGGAGCGCCTGCTCGCAGACCTGATGCAAAACTACGACCCCAACCTGCGACCTGCGGAACGAGACTCGGATGTGGTCAACGTCAGCCTGAAGCTAACCCTCACCAACCTCATCTCCCTGGTAAGCCGCAGGATGGAGGAGGGGTCAGTGCACCAGGCCCTGGGACCCGCTGGGGATAGCATGGGGTGACTCCAGCCACCAAGAGGTTGGAGGGCCCCACAGGGGACAGGCTGGGGTCTGGAAAACCCCCATGATTGTGGGGGGTGTACTGTCAAGAGGCTGGGGGATGCTTGGCCCCATCGGTGGCCTGTGGGACTGGCACTGAAGTTGGGGGCTGAGCCCTCCATACTGCACCCTTGCACCCCCAGAACGAGCGAGAGGAAGCCCTCACCACCAACGTCTGGATAGAGATGGTAAGAGGCCACCCTGCTACCCTCCTTCCATCAGGGGCCCCACCTCACCACCCCAAGGCCTCCTGAGAGTTGCCTGCCCCCTTCCTGCCTCTTCTGTCCTCTTGGGCTGGATGCCCACTCCTAGGGGTGTGGTGCAGCAGAGGGCAGAGGCCTAGCAACTGCCCCTCCCCCTGCAGCAGTGGTGCGACTATCGCCTGCGCTGGGATCCGCGAGACTACGAAGGCCTGTGGGTGCTGAGGGTGCCGTCCACCATGGTGTGGCGGCCGGATATCGTGCTGGAGAACAAGTGAGGAGGGGGCGCAGGCAGGGGTGTGGGGGACAAAGAACACAGGGTCTGGGCCCAGCAGAACAAGGGGGCTCTGGGAAAAGAGAAAGATGAGCAGGGGGTACAAATTGGGTACCTGTGTGGCTAGGGAAGAACTGGAAGGAGCAGGTGCCAAGGGCAGGGCCCTGGGTATGGCCTCTGACCCCAGGGCCAGCAGACCAGACCCTACGCCAGGCTCCATCCCCTCTGGGCTGGGCCACCTGGTGGGCTGCTCCCTTCCCTGTAACATGGGGCCACGGACGGGTCCTACAGAAGCTGGTGGGAGTCAACAAGACAGGCATGAAAAGTGCATCACTTGGGGGCTGGCACATGGTGTGGGCTTAACACGTTAATCGTTATTATATTATTATTATTATTAAAACAAGAGAGAGAAAGAGAAGCAGAAATTAGGAGGTGGTGCCTGAGGAAGTCTGTCTGGGGCAGGGGTGGCAGGAGGATTGCTGGGGGCACCTAGTGGTCCGGGTGGGAACCACTCAGGGGGTGACAGGCTGGTAGGGACTTGTGTCCCCAGGCCCCTATCCACATGGGGCAGAGGGGCTGGTCTGGGGCTGGGGTGTCGGGGGCTGAGCCCACAGCCTCGTGGCCTGGCCTGTTCTGTGCACACAGCGTGGACGGTGTCTTCGAGGTGGCCCTCTACTGCAATGTGCTCGTGTCCCCTGACGGCTGTATCTACTGGCTGCCGCCTGCCATCTTCCGTTCCGCCTGCTCTATCTCAGTCACCTACTTCCCCTTCGACTGGCAGAACTGCTCCCTTATCTTCCAGTGAGGCCATTTATGGGGGAGGATTAAGAGAGCTGCTCTCAGAGGGCCCTGGGCAGGGGTGGGGCAAGGCCTGGGCAAGACTTCTGGCCTTGGCTCCGGCAGCACCTAGAGGCCAAGGGCCTGGCTCCATCTCCCCTGGGCCTCTGTGCCCATCTCAGGCTAAGACGCCTGAAGGTGCCCGAGCTCTCCCTGCTAAGCCCGAGTCCCCTCACTCATCCTCCTTCACTGCCTCAGTTTCCTCGCCAGTGCCCCAAGGGGAGACATTCACACCTGGGGTGCATGGGTGAGAAGGCACACATGCACACAACATGCATGTCTGCGCACACACGAAACCACTGCACACTCCAGGCCCACGGGGAGGCGGGGCTGTTCTGTGAGAGAGGGGCCCTGGCAGGGAACCCAGCGGAAGCATGTGTGCAACCAAGCCACCCCTGGGCGTCTCTGGGTCTGTTTCCTCAAACCTAAGTGTGGGGAGGAGGGCCTGAGGGAGGGTTCTCCTGTATCTTAGAGGAGCAGTCTTTCCACAAGCAAAACCTGGCAGGGACACTCCCCTCCACAGACACAAGGGTCCTCCTTAGCTAGGCATGTATATTCTACATTGCCATCATCAGCCCCTCCTGCCAGACAGCAGTGGGAGGGACACATGCAGAGTGGCCCTGGGCCCATCAGCCAGGTGAGGGCCCTGCAGCCTCCTGGGCCGTCAACTCAATCTTCCTGACCCCAAAGAGCCCTAGGTCCCCTGCTCTCCATATCTCACCACTGGGGTTTTATGGAGAACTCAGAAGCAGGGCTGCATCTTGCTGAAGCAAAGCTGCCCACACTTGTCCCCAGATGGTCATCCCCATGCAGTCATGGCAGGTCTACCCACTCACATTTAGCCTCTTTCCTCGGTGACTCCCAGGTCCCAGACTTACAGCACCAATGAGATTGATCTGCAGCTGAGTCAGGAAGATGGCCAGACCATCGAGTGGATTTTCATTGACCCTGAGGCCTTCACAGGTAACCCCCACCCAAGGGCTCCCCAGGCAGCCTCATCCAGGGCTCCTGCTGGACCAAGCTGTGGTCAAGGCTGGACCAAGGTCAAATCCCTCCCATGTAACTCAAAATGAAAACTACAGCAAACCATAAAATACGCTTTTTAAAACGTCCAACAAAGCTCTGACTTTCCTCATGATAATGACTCCAATTTTAGAAGGAGAGGCTCAAGTATCCAATCTCCCACCCCACTTCTGTCCTGCAAGGGTGCCTCCCCTGCTGGTGCTCCTTAGGGCACATGCTGCCCTTGCAGCTGGGTCACTCAGGCCGCAGGGATCTGCCTAGCCCACACTTCCTGTGCCTACTCCTGCCTGCCTGCCTGCCCGCAGAGAATGGGGAGTGGGCCATCCAGCACCGACCAGCCAAGATGCTCCTGGACCCAGCGGCACCAGCCCAGGAGGCAGGCCACCAGAAGGTGGTGTTCTACCTGCTCATCCAGCGCAAGCCCCTCTTCTACGTCATCAACATCATCGCCCCCTGCGTGCTCATCTCCTCCGTCGCCATCCTCATCTACTTCCTTCCTGCCAAGGGTACCTGGAGCCTATGGGAGAGAGCCGTCCAGTAGCACAGGGGATACCTGGGAGGCCGGGGCGGGCCCTGCCTGGGGCACAGAGTGGCATTACGACCCAGGACAGAGGCAGCGGGCTACTTCTGGGGTAAGGGTTTCCTCTGTGGGTGGGGAAGGTAGGGACCTGCTCTGAGAGCCTCTCGGTCACTGGCAGCTGGGGGCCAGAAGTGTACCGTCGCCATCAACGTGCTCCTGGCCCAGACTGTCTTCCTTTTCCTTGTGGCCAAGAAGGTGCCTGAAACCTCCCAGGCGGTGCCACTCATTAGCAAGTAAGGCTGGTCTTCATGCCCACCCGCCTACCCCTCTCTCCTTTCTTGGGAGCACAATGGCCTCCTGCATTGCCCTTTTGCCCTCCATCCACCCCAGCATCCTCAATTCAGGAGGCCTGAGGGGGGGCAGCCACTAAGGGTGGGGGTAGCATCATGGTATGGGCTGCCAGCTCCTGCCCACCCCACCCTGACAGGTACCTGACCTTCCTCCTGGTGGTGACCATCCTCATTGTCGTGAATGCTGTGGTCGTGCTCAACGTGTCCTTGCGGTCCCCACACACACACTCCATGGCCCAAGGGGTCCGCAAGGCAAGGACCTTCCCTGCCCACTTCAACATCCTGCTGCCCACTCCCCTACACCTCCCTCTCGCACGCCCCTGGCCATATTCCTCACCTGCAACATTCCACAGCACACCTATCCTGGGTGTATCTTGAAGCATGGGCCAAAATCGATTACAGTAATACAGTAATGAAATTGCTTCCTAGGTGCCAGGGATATTACAAATGTTAATGTATTTCATCTTCATAAAATCCGTATCATCTCCAATTACAGATGAGGACATTGAGGCGCAGAGAGGTTAAGTAACTTGCCCAAGAAAGTGCACTACGAAGTCAAAAAAGCAAGAGTCTCCCAGGGTAGTCTGATTCTAGTCTGTGATCTATAGCCCACCTGCAGCCTTCAGCTTGGGCCCTTGTTGCACATGCAGATTCCCAGGCCTGCCCCAGGCATGCTAGGCCAGAATAGCATGAGGGTTGGGGGCAGGAATCTGTGTTTGTAAAAAGTGCCCTGGTGATTCTGATGTGCACTGAAGTTTGGGGACCCAGGCTCATGTCCAGTACAGAGCTTTACCAAGGCCACATCACTGCCCTGGTATGTGCCTAGCAGCACAAGCCCTTAACGCCAACTTCCTGCTTCTGCTCTGAAGCTCGGCCTGGCTGCCCTAGTGAAGCCACCCCCTCTCTAGGTGTTCCTGAGGCTCTTGCCCCAGCTGCTGAGGATGCACGTTCGCCCGCTGGCCCCGGCAGCTGTGCAGGACACCCAGCCCCGGCTACAGAATGGCTCCTCGGGATGGTCGATCACAACTGGGGAGGTGGCCCTCTGCCTGCCTCGCAGTGAACTCCTCTTCCAGCAGTGGCAGCAGCAAGGGCTGGTGGCAGCAGCGCTGGAGAAGCTAGGTGAGACATTGCAAGTGTGCCTGGGGACACTCCTCCCCTGGGACTCCAGCTGGGGAGCCAGACACAGCAGATGAGTGCTGGAGAAGTGTCCAGGTCAGGGAGAGAGCAGCTGGGGTCCCTAAGGAGAGGCCATCTTCTCTGCCTGTTTCTCCTCCATTCTACTCCCAAACCTTATCCTTTCTCTTTATCAGAGAAAGGCCCGGAGTTAGAGCCGAGCCAGTTCTGTGGCAGCCTGAAGCAGGCTGCGCCAGCCATCCAGGCCTGCGTGGAAGCCTGCAACCTCATTGCCCGTGCCCGGCACCAGCAGAGTCACTTTGACAATGTAAGCTGAGTCAGGGTGGGATGGAGGTGGAGTGAGTACCTGGGCTTGGACCTGTGATGGAGACAGGATGAGTGGGGTGGCCAAGATACGGCAGTGGGATGGAAAAAGAGGCGTTTGGGAGCAGTGGCTCACATCTGTAATCCCAGCACTTTGGGAGGCCGAGGCAGGTGGATTCACCTGATGTCAGGAGTTTGAGACCAGCCTGCCAACATGGCAAAATCCTATCTCTACCAAAAATTAGCTGGTCGTGGTGGTGGGCACCTGTATTCCCAGCTACTCAGGAGGCTGAGGCAGGAGAATCGCTTCAACCTGGGAGGTGGAGGTTGCAGTGAGCCGAGCCGAGATCGTACCACTGCACTCTGTCCTGGGTGAAAGAGTGAGACGTGAGATTCTGTCTCAAAAAAAAAAAAAAAAAAGAAAGAAAAAGGAACAGGGACAGCGGGGACATCTCAGGGCCAGGGGACCATGGAATTAGCCACCAGTTGGGACCTGGACATAGATAAGAAGGGCCCCAGGAAATGGAGACATGGGCCTGCTGGAAGCCCAAGGATGAGAACGGGACCCAGGGAAGACCTGGTGCCGCCGCAGGCCATCCGACACCTGACTCCCATCCTCAGGGGAATGAGGAGTGGTTCCTGGTGGGCCGAGTGCTGGACCGCGTCTGCTTCCTGGCCATGCTCTCGCTCTTCGTCTGTGGCACGGCTGGCATCTTCCTCATGGCCCACTACAACCGGGTGCCAGCCCTGCCATTCCCTGGAGATCCACGCTCCTACCTGCCCTCACCAGACTGAGCCAACCAACCACCTCGGGGCATGTGGGAGTCACACACGTGGGTCACACTGAGTCTTATCAGCCACGTTCTCCTACTGAGGTCCTAAGTGTACTCTTTGGGAAGTGCCCTTCAGGGCTGTGTGAGCCAAACAGCCCTAAGAAAAGCTGGGGAAAGAGTCTGAGCTGGAGTCCGGGAGTGGTTGGGGGTGGGCTGTGGTTAGTGTGCTGCTGCGGTCAGCATGCGTGCAGGACTGGCTAGCTTGTCCTGGCAATAGCTGCTCCTCCACTCAGCGCACTCCCCTCACTTAGGCCAAGCATTATTCATTCCCATCAATCTGAAGTCCAAAGGACTGTTTTGTGTAATACCTTCGGGCTTGGGACTGGCTCCCTTTTTACAAGTTCTCCCTGAAAGAGGGCAGTCAAGAGAGGTGTGAAGAGTAGCGGCCAATGATCTCTCCAAAGCAGGGCAGCAGCCCATGCCAGCTGGCATCTCCCCACTGTGCCTTCTGGGTACAATAAGCACCCAATTCTCAAAAGCCCCAGTGGCCTTTCCATTCATGTGCATTTTTCTACCACTGACCACAAGACAATTTCCTGAGTTTTGTAATCCTTTTTATTTTTAGTTTTTGATGTGTTGTTGTTGTTTTGTTTAGTTTTGAGACAGAGCCTCACTCTTGTCATGCAAGCTAGAGTGGAGTGGCATGATCAAAGCTCACTGCAGCCTCAACTTCCGGGGCTCAAGCGATCCTCCTGCCTCAGTCTCCCAAGTCGCTGGCACCACAGGCATGCACCACTACACCCAACTACTTTTAAATTTTTAGTACAGATGAGGTTTTGCTATGTTGCCTAGGTTGGTCTTAAACTCCTGAGCTCAAGTGATCCTCCCACTTGAGCCTTGGGATTACAGGCATAAGCCACTGTACCTGGCCTCCTTCTTTTTTTTTTTTTTTTTGAGATGGAGTCTTGCTCTGTCCTCCAGGCTGGAGTGCAGTGGCACAATCTCGGCTCACTGCAACTTCCGCCTCCTGGGTTCAAGTGATTCTCCTGCCTCAGCCTCCTGAGTAGCTGGAATTACAGGCGCACATCACCACGCCCAGCTGATTTTTTTTTTTTTGTATTTTTAGTAGAAATGGGGTTTCACCATGTTGGCCAGGCTGGTCTCGAACTCCTGACCTTGTGATCCGCCCACCTCAGCCTCCCAAAAAGTGCTGGGATTACAGGTGTGAGCCACCGCGCCAGGTCACCTGGCCTCCATTTTAATTAAGAGCTCCTCACGGCAGTATGGACAAGCAAGAATCATTATTCCCCGTGTTATACTGGCAAATTGAGCCTAGAGTAAGAGGGACTCCACACAACACTGGTGGCTAAACAAGGTTTGAAGTCCAGAATTCCTGACTCTGACCCAATCTGACATTCTAAGATTCTATGGCCTGAAAAACAGGCCCTTCTTCCCAAAGGATGGTTGAGACAAGGAAGAGCCAGGCAAGAAGAGTGTGGAATTAACAGAAAGCCACTGAGCTCTTCATTCCAGGAGGAGACTTTGGCCTCCCTTGACCCCACTAATCAGGTAGTAAGGCAATAAGCTGGGGTCTTCCTGTGGGAGAGGCGAGGTCCTGCTCTAAGATTACAGCTGGCACAAGAGTTCGGCTGGTAACCAGGGGACACCCTTGGGCAAGTCACCTATGCTCCCTGAGCCTGTTCCCTCATCGGTAAATAAGGTGCAAAAAATAATCCATTCCCGACCAGGTGTGGTGGCTCACACCTGTAATCCCAGCACCTTGAGAGGACAAGGTGGTGGACTGCTTGAGCTCAGGAGCCCAGGAACCCAGGAACCCAGCCTGGGCAACATGGGGACACCCGGTCTCTACCAAAAAATAAAAACTTAGCTGGGCGTGGTGATGCATACCTGTAGTCCCAGTTACTCGGGAGGCTGAGGTGGGGGGATCACTTGAGCCCAGGAGGTCTAGGCTGCAGTGAGCTGTGATCATGTGACTGCACTCCAGCCTGATGACACAGTAAGAGCCTGTCTCAAAAAAAAAAAAAAAAATTACAAAACTAAAAAAAAAAGTGAAAGTGCCACATAAAGGCCTGACAACAGGATATGATGGCAGGAGGGGACCTTGGAAATATGCCCTCCCTCCAAGCACAGGATTGCTGTCTTTGGGGTTCAATCACCAGCAAGTTCACTTTATTTACTCCAGTGTGTGTCTATGCTTGTGCATGCGTAGTGTGTTTGAAGCAAGAGCAGAGTCAGAGCCCTAGAGTCCTAGAGGAGTTAGGGAGAGTGGGGGAGAACTTTGATCACAGAGGGAATCTGGTGACAGTGGGGTCATTTCAGCTTCCCATAAGCCCCTTACTAGCTGTGTATCTGGCACAAGTCTCTCAACCTCTCTGAAAGCCTCAGAAGGCAGAGGATTAGCTCCTTGTACACAGTAAGCACTCAAATTGGCTGCCATTACTATAGGTTACTGTCTCATGGGATCCATATAGTAACCTGAGGAGGTAGGAAGACGTATACCTCAAAGATATTCCAGGTTCAGTTCCAGACCAACACAAGAAAGCAAGTCACATGAATGTTTTTGGTTTCCCAATGCACATAAAAGTTATGTTTACACTATACTGTAGACTAGCAAGAGTGCAATAGCATTTTCTAATAAAACAATATACATACCTAAATTTAAACATACTTTATTGCTAAAAATGCTAATGATCAATCTGAGCCTTCAGTGAGTCGTACTCTTTTTGCTGGTGGAGGGTCTTGCCTCGAGGTCGATGGCTGCTGACTGGTCAGGGTGGTGGCTGCTGAAGGTTGGGGTGGCTGTGGCAATTTCTTAAAATAAGACATCAGTGCAGTTTGTCTCATCAATTGACTCTTCCTTTCATGAAAGATTTCTCTGTAGCATGCGATGCTGTTTGATAGCATTTTGCCCACAGTAGAACTTCTTTCAAAATTGGAGTCAATCCTCTCAAACCCTGCTGCTGCTTTGTCAACTAAGTTTATGTAATATTCTAAATCCTTTGTTGTCATTTCAACAATGTTCACAGCATCTTCACCAGGTGTAGATTCCATCTCAAGAAACCACTTTCTTTGTGCATCCATAAGAAACAGCTCCTTATCTGTTACAGTTTTATCATGAGACTGCAGCAATTCAGTTACATCTCTAGGCTCTACTTCTAATTCTAGTTCTCTTGCTATTTCCACCACATCTGCACTTACTTCCTCCACTGAAGTCTTGAACCCATCATAGTCATCAATGAGGGTGGGAATCAACTTCTTCCAAACTCCTGTTAATGTTGACATTTTGACCTCCTCCCATGAATCACGAATGTTTTTAATGGCATCTAAAATGGTGAATCCTTTCCAGAAGGTTTTCAATTTGCTTTGCCCAGATCCATCAGAGACATCTCTATCCATGGCAGCTAGAGCCTTATGAAACGTATTTCTCAAATAATAAGACTTGAAGGTCGAAATTACTCCTTGATCCATGGGCTGCAGAATGGATGTTGTGTTAGCGGGCATGAAAACAACATTAATCTCCTTGTATATCTCCACCAGAGCTCTTGGATGACTAGGGGCATTGTCAATGAGCAGTAATATTTTGAAAGGAATCTTCTTTTCTGAGCAGTAGGTCTCAACAGTGGGTTTAAAGTATTCAGTAAACCACACTGTAAACAGATGTGTTGTCATCCGGGCTTTGCTGTTCCATTTATATAGCACAGGTAGAGTAGATTTAGTATAATTCTTAAGGGCCCTAGGATTTTCAGAATGGTAAACAAGCATTGGCTTCAACTTAAAGTCACCAGCTGCATTAGCCCCCAACAAGAGAGTCAGCCTGTCCTTTGAAGCTTTGAAGCCAGGCACTGACTTCTCCTCTCTAGCTATGAAAGTCCTAGATGGCATCTTCTTCCAACAGAAGGCTGTTTCATCTACATTGAAAATCTGTTGTTTAGTGTAGCCACCTTCATCAATGATCTTAGCTAAAGCTTCTGGATAACTTGCTGCAGCTTCTACATCAGCACTAGCTGCTTCACCCTGTGCTTTTATGTTGTGGAAACGGCTTCTTTCCTTAAACCTCATGAACCAACCTCTGCTAGCTTCAAACTTTTCTTCTGCGGCTTCCACACCTCTCTCAGCTTTCATAGAGTTGAAGAGAGTTAGGGCCTTGTTCTGGATTAGGCTTTGGCTTAAGGGAATGTTGTGGCTGGTCTGATCTTCTATCCAGACCACTAAAACTTTCTCCATATCAGCAATAAGGCTGTTTCGCTTTCTTATCATTCGTGTGTTCATTGGAGTAGCACTTTTAACTTCCTTCAAGAACTTTTCCTTTGCATTTACAACTTGGCTAACTGTTTGCCGCAGGAGGCCTAGCCTTCGGCCTATATCGGCTTTTGACATACCTTCCTCACTGAGTTTAATCATTTCTAGTTTTTGATTTAAAGTGAGAGACGTGCGACTCTTCCTTTCACTTGAGCACTTAGAGGCCATTGCAGAGTTATTAATTCGCCTAATCTCAATATTGTTGTGTCTCAGGGAATAGAGAGGCCCAAGAAGAGAGAGAAAGATGGGGAACAATCTGTGGGTGGAGCAGTCAGAACACACACAACATTAAGTTCGCGGTCTTATAAAAGACGCTGTATGTGGCACCCCAAAACAATAGCAACATCAAAGATCACTGATCATAAATCACCATAACAGACACAGAAATCATGAAAAGTTTGAAATATTTTGAGAATTACCAAAATGTAACACAGAGACACGAAGTGAACACATGCTGTTGGAAAAATGGCGCTAATACAATTGCTGGACTCAGGGCTGCCACAAACCCTCAATTTGTTTTTAGAAAGTCCTATCTGCGAAGCGCAATAAAACGAGGTATGCCATAGTATAGTGGCGCTGCCGCCAAAGGAAAGCCTCGGGAAGGTTAAGAGAGATACCGGAGAGTGCGTCCGGCACTGGAGGAGGAGGAGGGTTTTTACCAGGCAGCGAGTCCAGAGCCCGCGCTGTCAACGACGCGGTGCTGCCTTTTTTCGGAGGCGCTGCAGGAGGGCGCCTGGACACGCTCCCTTAGGAGAGCGGGCAGGTCACAGGACCTGGACGGCGACAAAGCTGAGACCTGAAGCCAGCTCCGCCGCTGAGGCCAACCCTCTGCGCAGCCGCCCTAAGCTGGCGTCCCGAGATAGACGCCCCCAAACCGGGCCTGCGCGTGGACGTTCCGCTGTGCCCCGCGCAAAACCGGAAGTACCCGGGCCTAAGGCTGAGGGACCCGGTGGAGCGGAAGTCACTCCCTGAGGCAGTGGCGACAGCCGCGGCGAGAGGATGAACAACAAGTTCGACGCGTGAGTGGCTCGTGGCCGCCCCCGGGGCCCCTTCCCCCAACAGTTCCCCCGCGCCCGCCCCCACTGGGGCTAGGGCGGCGCAAACCCGGCGGCCCCGGCTTCCCTGCCGGGATCAGGCTGCGGCCGGACCTGGCCTGGGCTGGCGGGGAGGAGGGGGCTGGGGAGCGATGGATCCCGGGGTCCCGGAGACCCCAGGGCCGTCCGAACCGAGGGCGAAGAGCTGAGCCCGGGGGAGGGGTGGCTGTGCCGCCCGGTAGGGGGAGATTTTCGGACGCCCCGCCCCGGTGGATGCGGATTGCCGACGACGTGGAGGGGTGGGGACCTCGGCGGTTTGGGTGTTTCCGCAGTCTGGCCGCGCTGTCTCTGAATCCAGCTTTCCCCACACACTCCCTCTCCCCTCTGAGCCTCAGTTTTCTCATCTGCAGAGTGGGGACGGTAACACCCTTTGTCGTAGAGTTTGGAGGATGCAATGAGGTAATGTGGCGGCTGCCCTCGACGCGGTGGAAGGCTGGCTTAGGAATTAGCATCTTCCTGAGACTCTTCCTACTTTCTTTCTCCTCCCACTCCCGTTCCCGTCTTCCAACACACTCGCCAAGACTTGGGTATACTTGTCGCCCTCTCTTGCCCGCTCCGGTTTCTAGTTTCAGCATCAAACAGTTTGGAGGTACAGAGGGAAAATGCAGAAGTATTTTTACTTATTCCCCTCCAAGGATTGTATCTTGAGGTAGAATATGTTCCTACCTCTGTTCCAGTAGTCTAGTAAATCTGTCTCTTCATCTGAAAGCCTGGATTTGTAGTCCCAGATTCACCACTTACCAGCTGTTTGACTGTGGAAAAGTTACCCAGTCTCTGAGCCATTGTTGCTCAAACCACGTTAGTGGTTAGTACCCTGCTGCCACAGCGGGGTGTGATAAGGGTCAAATCACACTCAGCAATGCTTAAAGATATTTGTGAAACATTGCTAACTACTGAGATATAAACGTAAAGTGGAATTACTATTAGTTTAGGTTGTGACCTTGTGCTTTTGATGGGAAATTAGGGTTTTTCCAATGCAGAGAGTACTGTGCAAATTCAAAGAGTACTGGATTTCCAACACTCCAGGCAGGTAGGTCCTCAGGCATGTTTGCTGGTTGCTGAGAGGTCTCTGCTACTTGAGAAAGTCTTTGCCCGACCTCTTCTCTATCCTTAGGTTTAACTGAGCCTATCCCTCTACGAACCTCTCCCACACTGCCGTCCCATTTCATCTCTATCGTAAACCCTGCAACACCTAGTTCCAGATCCACATCCTGCCTCAGTGGAGCTTTCTGGAACCTTTATACCCCTTCCTCCACTGATTTGCACAAACCAAATTTCATCCTAAGAAGACATCTTATGGGTCATCTAGCTCAGGCCTACCTAAATCATTTGGGGGTCTGCAGTAAGAATGGTAATAATGGACTTCCACAGGGATCTTGCTAGGTACTTTTCATATATATATGTTTTTTGAGCCAGGATCTCACTGTGTCACCCTGGCTGGAGTGCAGTGGTGTGATCACAGCTCACTGCCCACTCAACCTCCCGGGCACCAGCAATCCTACCATCTCAGCCTCCAGAGTAGCTGGGACTACAAGCATGTGCCACCCTGCCTGGCTAATTTTTTTGTATTTTTTGTAGAGACAGGGTTTCACCATGTTGCCCAGGCTGATGTCCAATTCCTGGACTCAAGAGATCCACCCACCTTGGCCTCCCAAAGTGCTGAGATTACAGGCGGGAGCCACCACCCCCAGCCTCATATGTTATTTCTACTCTAACAACTCTGTGAAGGGGATCTTGTTATCTCCTTTTACAGATAAGGAAAAGGAGACTCTGAGATTAAGTAATGCCCAAGACAACAGGAAAGGAAGGGCTATCCCAGGTTTGTTGTGTAACCTTGGTTCAAGCACCTTGTGAGAAAAATTAAACTTGTCCACTTTTTTATCTTAGCTCTTCTATGATTGAAGAACCTGGGTCATTTTAATCACTTTGAATTATTAACTATTATATTGAGCCAGAATCTTTTAACATCTACCCTCTAGCATTGCAGGAAGAAGAAAAACAAGCTTTCTTTCATTTGAAATTAGCAATTGAAAACAGCACTCCTGCCCCTAGTTTTATTTTTTTATGTTGTTTTTCATTCAGAAATTCTGCAGTTTTTAGGCCATTGCTGCATATTTGGAGTCTTTATCACATTGCTCTCTTTACTAATCTGCACTCTTTACCACATTGCTCTTAAGGACATGTTCCAGTTTGCCAGAATTCTTCCAGAAGTCCAGTGGCTGGAGCTGAGTACAGTAGTATATAATCTAATGGGCTCATATTAAAGATTAGCTCTAATCTCCGTTACTGTATGGACTCAACTTCTCTGAATGAAACCTTTGATTATAATTGCTTTTGTGGAGAGGGGGTAGACCTATCAAGTCCTTAGATCGCATTGCCAGTGATCCTATTGATATGTAAAACCCTAAGATGCTTTCACAAAAACTGCAGTCCTGACGTAGTTAAACATGGTTTTCAGATCTAGACCACTGTACTTGATTTTGTCCGTATTCTACATCATTTGCTTTTTATTCTGTATCGTTAACTTTGGGCCCATTCCTAACTATTGTCTAAACCACGTATTTGGCACTCATTGCTTTGATTCTGTAGACCCATTCATTAAATGGAAATTTGTTTTATGCCACTGTCTGATGGTGGGGGTATAAAGATGAATTGAACCAAGGTCTTGCCCACAAGGAATTGGTCTAGTTCAGAGGGTGAGGAAATACCTGGGCAGAAGCTTAGCAAGCTAAGTAAAGTTCCTCTCAGTCTGGACAGCCTCAGAGTTGCTACCTGACTGCCCGAGTTTACAGAGCACTGATTTTTCAGGCTGAGTGGTATCTTGACTCAAATCCAGCTTGAAGCTGGGAAGAGTAGCTTATAAGATTTGCCTTAAATGTAGGCTTAGAGGGCAGAGTAGTTGGTTAGTTCCACCCTCAGGTAATAAAAGCACTAGGTGTAGGTCCATTAGGGTTCCCATTTACTGTCTTAGAAAGGAATCCGAAGTGGTCCAGGGATCACAGGAACATTGTTTCTTCTCTGACAATTATTTTTGTTAGTTTTTTCTCTGTTTCCTGGTAGTGATCAGCAGCAAAACCACTAAAAAGAAAGGAAGGTATATGCTTTTCTTGGGACCCATCTTTGCTGGGATGACTATACCCCTCTTCAACCAAGATCTAAATGCAAGGGACCCCAGAGGCTATAGTGGGAGTTGGAAGCTAAGAAGAGAGGAATAGGGTTTGCATCCCAGGGGTGTGCCCTAAAGAAGAGAGTTGAGAGCTGTCCTGGGCCTAAGCAGAAGAACCCTTGAGATGTTCTTGATCAGGAGACAGAACTGGCCATGAGAGTATAGCTGGAACAAGTGCAAACATTTATATGGGGAAGTTCAGAAGAGGAGAGCCCAACTTAGCCTAGGTCGGGAGAGGTTAGGAAATGTTTCCAAGAGAAAGTGGCCCTCGATCTGAGTCCTGTAGGACAAGTTAACTAGGCAAAGAAGGACTTCTTGAGGAGAGACCACATGATGAGCACAGCAGAAGGATAAAATTGGGGCATCAAAATTAGGATGATACAACTGGAGTGAAAAGAGTTCGTTGGGACCAGGAAGGAGATGATATTGGGACATGTGAGCAGAGCAGGGGCCTTTGCACCATGCTGAGGCATGGATATATCTGTGAACCTTTTCTCCTCAGCTGGGTCCTTGGGGACAAGCACTCTGGTAGCTCATACACACCATAGATGCTTGGTAGATGTTGGTAATTTTTAATCCATAGATCTTGTGTGCTAGACAGACTCCTTTTGAAAAGGAAACCAAATGTTTAATAAAGGGGAAGGGAATATCATAAGCGCAGATGATGGTCTCCTGAAAGTCCAGGGAGGCTGAATAAAAGCCAGAGAGATGGTAGCACCAACAACAAAATGAAAGTCCCCTGCATTTTCTCTGCTCATCTGCCCCATTCTCTTATCTCCTGGCTTTCTTATCTCTTATCTCCTGGCTTTCTCTGCTTTTGCTCATTGTCTTAATTCTTTCAGGGCTTTTCTTGCATGGGGCGCATATGGCTGCCGCAACTCCTAAGTCTATGATCTTTCTCCTCCTAGATGAATGCTGAGGGGAGGAATCTGCTTATATATTTGAGCAAGGCCCTGGGGCATAGGTTATTGCCCGGGCTGGACTGCCCTTTGGTCAGGTGCCCTTCCTAGTTGTGTCTTGACCAGGGTAGGGATGGGAAGGTTCATGGCACAGGGCATAACCTCCTGAGATTATCCTACAGCTAGGCCTGTGAAATGGGGAGAGCAGGGACCCCAACATGTGACTAGTGCATTCATTCTAATATTTATTGTGTGCTTTTAATGTATCAGGCACTGGGGATTCATGGGCAAAAAAAAAAAAAAAAAAAAAACACAAAGTACCCTGCAACATGTTTATGTATCTGAATAGGATAGTATCTGAATTATAATTGGAGCATTTCTTGTACCATTCTTGAGAACTGCCTAATTTCATTTGACCACATATATAGTTATTGGGGCAAGAAAGATGATTGGAGAGATCTCTGATGAGTTAATGGTCCAACCCTAGAATAAATGGTTTTCTTATTGTCTTTGCAAACTCACCTTCCATTTATCTTTTTGTCTGGATCCATTGATTTTTAGGTGTACCTGAAAACCTTGGGCTAGTTTCGCTGCTCATGAAAGGGAGGGTAATCCCTAAAGTACGTTTGTGCTTATGAAGCAAGAACACATTTATTCTTTCAGTCATTTATTTTTCCTTTTGGTTTACCATTTATGCAGCATCTTCTAGTGCTGCATGTTAAGGCAACATCTTGCCGTGGGTGCAGGAGATACCAAGATGAAATAAGACACTGCTCTAAGGGAACTCTCTCTCTAGTAGGAAAAACAGACATGGGAGGAATGGTGTGGCAGACTGAAGGGGTGGTGTTTGCAAATGGCACCGATACGGGAATATAGATTGCTAGAGGTGGAGGATCCTGGCTGGCAGGAGTCAGATTCTAGAGGATTTTACATTTTGCTGTACTTTATCTTAGAGGGTAGGCATCAAAAAGCGAGGGACCGTTGAAAGTTTAAACATGAAAGTTAAATGTCAGATTTGCACTTAAAAAGATAATGCTGGTGAAAGGGTGGATAGAGAGTGAGAGATTTGTGTCAGGAAGACCACTGAGGAATTTATTGTATGATTGAGATGTCAGGTGAAGAGGGCCTAAACTAAAGTAGTGACAGTGGGGAAGTGTAGAAGAGGTGGTAAGGAGAAGTGGCAAAGCAGATAGTACGTTTTTAACCTTCATTTGAAATGCCAAAGCATTAGAGACTCTTCTCATTTTTTACTCCATTTTTGGCAGGGAAAACAATCCCTTAAACTGTATACCTTAAACAGTCCCTTTAACTGGTTCTTTTTGTGCCTTTTTAGAAAACTGAAAGACAGTGCTTTCTGGAGTTCACAAGTTAGCTGATGGGCATTTCGTTTTTGTTTAATCCTCCTAATTTGCCTGTCTGTATTATTTTGCCCTTCTCACATCTCAGGGCCTGAATTTGAGTGACTTTGGGTTGGTTACATGTAGTTCATATGACTTGGTGGCTTTGTTAGGTGAGCAAGAATTGACTTCATCACAGAATAGTATTATGTTGCCTTTCCATTCAGTTTGAAAGATGATGACAGTGGGGACCATGATCAGAATGAAGAAAACAGCACACAGAAAGATGGTGAGAAGGAAAAAACGGAACGAGACAAGAATCAGAGCAGTAGCAAGAGAAAGGTGAGTTTTGCGCTGCACAGTTGTAGTTGCCTTTGAACTTGAGACTTTATTGTCTTGTGGAATCTGTTTATCTAGAAGATACCAGATTAACTTGATGGCATCCTGTGTTGGAATATCTGACTTTGTTCTCAGAAAAACATTGTGCAATCATTGACGTTCATTTGGGGACCTAGAACTTTTCTCTTGCCGCAAAATCTTGAGATGCTGCCTTGCTTTCAGCATTCTCCTAGCCTGAGATGGAGGAGATTAGCCCTGGAGCTTAACAAGGCTGTTAGCTACTTCTTAGGCCACTGTTGAGTGTTTCAAATGCTACACACCCTTTTAAATTTTAGACAGTTTAGTCAACAATAGTCTAAGGTGAAAGTGACTTGGAAAAGGGAAAACTTAGGGAATGAGAGAGAGAGAGAGATCAGTTTTTTCCTTGAAATGTCAAAACAGGCTGGGTGCAGTGGCTCATGCCTGTAATTCCAGCACTTTGAAAGGCCAAGGTGGGCAGATCCCTAGATCAAGAGATCAGGACCATCCTGGCCAACATGGTGAAATCCCATCTCTACTAAAAATACAAAAATTAGCTGGGTGCTGTGGCGTATGCCTGTAGTCCCAGCTACTGGGGAGGCAAGAGAATCGCTTGAACCCGGGAGGCGGAGGCTGCGGTGAGCCAAGATCATACCACTGCACTCCAGCCTGGCAACAGACTCCATTTCAAAAAAAAAAACAAACAAAAGAAGAAATATCAAAGCAATCACTAATTCATTTATTCTGCAATATTGAGTAGCACTCCAAGGGCAAGCCACTTTATGCTAGATGCTAAGAGGACACAAAGGGGAATGAGACTGTGGAAGGGGCTTACATTTAATAGTACCAATAATAACAATACTGACATCTGTTGTGCACGTACTCTCTGCCAGTTGCTCAGCATTGTATATCCACTAATTCATTTGATCCTCTCGGCAGTATTATGAGATAGTTGTTATTATTTTCCTCATTTTGCAGGTAAGATGAGGCAGAAACAGGTTAAGTAACTTGACAGTGATGAATCTCATAGAGAAAGCAGTGCTTGGACTGGGCATAGGCTGAGATAAGATACAAACGTGAATACCTGTTATTATATGAGGCAGAAAGTTACAAAGGCCATAAGAACACAGGTAAAGTGTTAGAGGAATTTGGAATCGGTTAACCACTGAGGAAATGTACTGTGTAAGCAGAATCTTGGGCACATTGCGGGTAGTTGAGGTTGTATATCCTTTTTTAATTGTGGAGGTGGTAAAGATTGACACTGTAAAATGTTCTCTCAGTCTCAGACCATATGACAAATGCCCAGGACTAACACACGTTCTTTACTTCCCAGGCTGTTGTTCCTGGACCAGCAGAGCATCCCCTGCAGTACAACTACACTTTTTGGTACTCCAGGAGAACCCCCGGCCGTCCCACCAGCTCACAGAGCTATGAACAGAATATCAAACAGATTGGCACCTTTGCCTCTGTGAGTTCTTGGTGATTTAATGGAGTGTGCCTTGATAGTTCATTCATGCCTGTATCGATATGATGTTTATTTACCTTCCTAGTAACCTATTTAAGATTCTGGTTTTCTTAATTGACTGACCTGAGCCTCCGGAGTCAGATTTGTTCATTTTTAGGTTTCTCACTAGATATCCATGGTTAGCATGTAGGTATCAACATATAGGAGAATTGTAGAGTTGATCAGAAGGGCATAATACAAAAGAACAGGTTTGGGGTTTTTTTTTTTTTTTAATTGAGACAGAGTCTCTTGCTCTGTCGCCCAGGCTGGAGTGCAGTGGTGTAATCCCGGCTCATTGCAACCTCCACTTCCTGGGTTCAAGCAATTCGCTTGCCTCAGCCTCCTGAGTAGCTGAGATTATAGGCATGTGCCACCACAACCAGCTAATTTTTGTATTTTTAGTAGAGACGGGATTCCACCATGTTGGCCAGGCTGGTCTCGAACTCCTGACCTTAGGTGATCTACCCGCCTTGGCCTCCCAAAGTGCTGGATTACAGGAGTGACCCGCTGTACCTGGCCCTATTTTTTGTTTTGTTTTGTTTTGTTTGTTTAAGTAGATATTTATGGAGTCCTTACTAAGTTCAAAGTGTCATAAATACAAAGGTTTATAATACATGTTGTCTATCCTCATGAAGTTTAACAGTAAACTGAAAAATTTTGAAAGTTTTGTATTTAAGAAGCTCCCATTAGGGTTCTGGCTGTGTTAACGATTATGCATAAAATATCTTTTTCCTGTGTTCAGAAAGAAAATGAAATGTCTAATAATTGCTTTTGTGGGTACTGTCAGTCAGAGAGCCCAGACCGTCTCATCTCTCTCCCAGGTGACTTGGTTTGTGTACCCCAAGAATCCATCTGCAACTAACACCACTCTAGTTGAACAAAGGTTATTATGTACCCAGTGTGTGCTGTACATTCAATCTCTGGGCAGAGTCAAATGTGGGGTTTGTCATTTTCTTGAGATTGGTAAAGTATTAGTCCGTTTAAAATGCAGAAACTGGAAAAGAATACTCCAGTAGGAAATACTACAACAAACTGCTAAGGAGGAAGGACGTATAACACATACTTTATTTGTGTCATTTCCTTCCATCATTTCGATAGCCCTATGAGGTCAGTGATATTATCCATATTTTACAAATGAGGAAAGGAAAACTTGGGTTAAGTATCTGATCTAAAGTCTCAAGTTACGGTGGGGCATGGTAGCTCATGCCTATAATTCCACCACTTTGGGAGGCTGAGGTAGGAAGATTGTTTGAGCCCAGGAGTTTGAGACCAGCCTAGGTAACGTAAAATTAGCTGATTTGGAGAAAAGGGGAACACTAAAAAAAAAAAAAAAAAAAAAATCCTGGCCATGTTGGTGTGTACCTGTGGCCCCAACTACTCAGGAGGCTGAGGCAGGAAGATCACTTGAACCCAGGAGGTTAAGACTACAGTGAGCCATGTTTATGCCACTGCACTCTAGCCTGGGCAACAGAGATAGACCCTGTCTTAAAAATGTTTTTAAATTCTCAAGTCAGTCATAATTCACTGGATTAAATGGGGGAGCCAGTGTAATTGAAGCTCAGGTACAGAAGTTTCCGGATAGCTGAACACATGGAGGTACCTGGAGGGTGGTGCACCTAGAGGGGACATAGAAGCTCCCTGAACCTTCCTCCATACCTTCCCTCATACCTTGCCCTACACATCTCTTCATCTGTGTCCTTTGTTTATAATAAACCGGTAACGTAAGGTACCAAGACAATAACTGGGGAAAGAATCTTCTTTTCAACAAACAGTGCTGAGACAACTGGATTTCCAGGTGCAGAAGAATGAATTTGCATTCCTTCCTGATACCATGTACAAAAAGTAACAAAAAATGGATCATAGACCTAAATGTAAGAGCTAAAATTATAAAATTCTTAGAAGAAAAATGTTAGTACATCTTAATGAACTTAGGTTAGGCAAAGCCTTCTTAAATAACACACTAAATGCATAAGCAGCAAAAGATTAAATACTTGGCTGGGCGTGGTGGCTCACACCTGTAATCCTAGTACTTTGGGAGGCTGAGGCAGGAGGATCACTTGAGCTCGGGAGTTTGAGACCAGCCTGGGCAACATAGTGAGACCCTATCTCTATAGGATTTCGTCAGAATTCAAAACTTTTCTGCCTCAAAGGAGACTATCAAGAAAGTGAAAAGATAGCCTACAAAATGGGAGAAAATATTGCAAATCATATCTAATACTTGTATCTAGAATACTCTTACAACTCAATTATAATCTGCTTAATATGAAATCAATATCATTACTATGCCGAGCTGATAAAATTTCAGCCTAAAGCAAAGATCTTGTTTAGTTCGCCAGTGCTATCTTAGAATCGGCTAACTTAGAAGAGGTTTTTGAAATAATATAACTAGCTTGTGTACTGGTTCATATTTGATTCAAGAAATGCTTGTTGAATGAATTCAAGGCCCTAGTAGGCTTCTAAAAGGAATGAAGGCACAGATCCTGTCCTTGGGGAAATAAGATGTGCCCAGGAATTTCTAATACAGGATAGACAATAAGTGGTACTATGGGAAAGGCATGTAGAGTGCTCTTGGAGTTTGGAGGAAAGAAGGAATTGATTCCAGTTTGGGGAATACTGCCATTGAAGAGATGGGTTTAAGATCGATTTTAAAGAACTTGGCCAGACCTGGTGGCTCATTCCTGTAATCCTAGTACTTTGGGAGGCCAAGGTGGGAGGATTGCTTGAAGCCAGGAGTTCAAAATCAGCCTGGGCAACATAGTGAGATCTTACCTGAAAAAAAAAAAAAAATTGGAGTAATTATGCATACTTCTTGCATTTTTATTTCCCTCTTGTGGGAAAAAAAAAACATATAAAAATTTACCCAAATTGTACAAGGAGAGTTTTTCTTTTCTTTCAGCGTATATGTTAAGGAATGATTTATCATCAGGACTATCTCGGGTTAAGGCTTCTTCAGTGCTCACTGGATGTGTGATAGTATTTAAAGTCTGTCATTTTGACTTCGTAGGTCTGAACCTGAAAAATAGAAATAAAGTCTATTATGTAATTCAGGTCATTAGGAAATGGCTCACAATATTAAATTCATCACAGATAAATAATTACATTATTAATCCTTTTATCGAATTCAAAGCAGTGTTTCCCAGTGATTCTTAGCCTAATCATTAACAACATTCAAAAGTTCTTAAAGTCAGGGTGACTAGGAAGGCATCATCTTGAAATGGAAAGAGCACTGGACTCGGTAATCAGAGCTCACCTATTCTGATGCTTGACTCTCAGCTAGAGCAACTCAGTCCTGAAACTTTTCTCAACTATAAAACAAGTTGTTGAGATGATTTCTGAAGTCCTTTCTGCACCTCATATTCTGAGTCTGTGAACGCTTATTTTTTTGGTTTCAATTAGAACTGTCAAATCTTTTAAAGTTTAATAATATTTCTCAGGCCAGGCACAGTAGCTAATGCCTGTAGTCCAGCACTCTGGGAGGCCAAGGAGGGAGGATCAATCTAGGACTTCAAGACTAGCCTGGGCAACAGGGTTAGACTTCATCTCTACAAAAAATAAAAATAAAAAAATAGCTGGGCATGGTGATGCCCACTTGTGGTCCCAGCTACTCAGGAGGCTGAGCCAGGAGTATTGCTTGAGCCTGGGAGGTCGAGGCTGCAGTGAGCCGTGATCACACTGCTGCACTCCAGCCTGGGTAACAGAGCAAGACCCCATCTCAAATGATGAATGAATGAATGAATGAATGATGGTCTCGAGCTGTTTAACTTCACCTCTTTGCATATAAGATTGTGTAGTGGAGCTAGGCGTGTTGGCTAATGCCTGTAATCTCAGCACTTTGGGAAGCCAAGGCAGGTGGATCACCTGAGGTCAGGAGTTCGAGACCAGCCTGGCCAACATGATGAAACCCCGTCTACTAAAAATACAAAAATTAGCCAGGCGTGGCAGCATGTGCCTGTAGTCCCAGCTACTTGGGAGGCTGAGGCAGGAGAATTACTTGAACCCAGAAGATGGAGGTTGCAGTGAGCTGAGGCAAGGCTGCACCATTGCACTCCAGCCTGAGCAAAAAGAGTGAAACTCCGTCTCAAAAAAACAAAACAAAGAAGATTGTGCAGTGTAGTTGTAAGATTGGAGGAGACCAAACTATTAAAGTGATTATTGACTGGGGAACTGGAGATGGTTGCCATACTTTCTCCTCACCAAGCCTCTTTCAGTTCCTTATTCACAATGAGCCATTTGGGGGTGTACTTAGTTCTCTTCAACTATGTTAGGGTGGATAAAGGTTTAGATTATTGCCGATTGTATTCATATGACCATTTACTATTCCAAGTCACTATATGCAGCTAAGCTTAGCAGTTGCTGAATATGAAGCACTGCCTTGAAGCCCTATAGATGGCGTTAGTTCCTGACTTCTTTTTAACATGTAAGATGCATCACATGTTCTTGTGCCAGAGAGGAACTAAAGGGGCAGCCATTTCACCCAGTGTAAGGTTGATTTCTCCTTAGGTGCTCCTGAAATCTAGAAGTATGACCTGAATCTTTGTCTACTCAGTACCCATTGTCAGCTCCATAGTTGTGGTATCTTGCTGTATGTTGATTTAGAGCCTGCTCAGCAAGTTGGCAAATACCAGCTATTTCTCATCAGAGTGTTCATGTTTTTTCTTTCCTCCTAAAGTGTGCCTCTTCACTGGCCAGTACTTACTAGGTATCCTCTGTGAATAAGGAAATAATCTGTCCTATCAAGACACTAATGAGCCTGTAGTCCCAGCTACTTGGGAGGCTGAGATAGGAGGATCCCTTGACACCAGGAGTTAGAAGCTATAATGAGCTATGATCATACTGCTGCACAGATCCTGTCTCTTTTTTTTTTCTTTTTCTTTTTTTTTTAAGGGGGGAGGTGACACTAATGAGAAAAATGGGACTACTGTGATGAATACAAATAAGCATATACTTGATAGAAAAATATAAATCTAGTTTTCTCATGGGATTGTGAAGGAGCAGCAAGGAGAAACATAATTTTTCTAGCTAAGAAGAAGGCCTTAAACCCTAGCTATGAGAAGCTAAGTCCTGTACGATTTTGGATGGGCCTGGACTTTAGCAACAGCACCATGGTGTAGAGTAGTATGTGTGGTACAAGTGGTTGATTCTATCACTTATGCTTAGTAACTAAACAGGTCTAAGAAGTATTTCATTCAGCAAATGCTATATTTGCCAGTGAAACAATCTTTGATCAGTAAGTGATTTGGTTCTAAAAAATGGATTCAGGCTGAGGCTGTGTGGCACTTAATATACCTCAAGGCTAAAGAGTTTCCATTGTGCAAAAACCTGGTCCTCTTACTGCATGTGATGACTGTCCTGCGGCTTGAGTGGGAGAGTGCGTATTAACATGGTTTCACCAACTAAAGCTCCTGGCTCAGGCTTGCATTTCTCACCAAAGATTTTATTCTTGTATTGCTAATGTTACATTTTTTCTTTCGTGAAACTAGATGATACACTTTTCTTCTAATATGTCTTCCCTCACAGTGCCACACATGAAAATGAGTCCTCTGAAAAGGACAGCTTGTAGTATAGTGTCTTCCATGCTTATGTTCTTAACTAAATTTCAACTTCGGGATGCATTCAAAGAAAAATACAAGACACATCTTTTTTACTGTGGGGTCTTCTCTCTGCAGGTGGAGCAGTTCTGGAGGTTTTATAGCCACATGGTACGTCCCGGGGACCTGACAGGCCACAGTGACTTCCATCTCTTTAAAGAAGGAATTAAACCCATGTGGGAGGTAAGGACTAATGGTCTCTGACTGCTTTTTTGAGCAAGTTTGGGTTTTTTTGTTTTGTCTCTTAGCCTACCAAGGTTAAAAGTATTTTAAAGTCTTCTCTCAAAACTGCATCACTCTCCAGTATATCCTTGGAACCTGAGCCTCTAGAGAAATGCACTGATGCCATTTTTTTGTCTGTGTGGGTTGGTGCTGGGTGTTTTTTAAAGACTGTTTTATGACTAAAATGGTATTAGAACATTAAAGGATTTTTGTTTTCAGTTACTTTTATCCCTATAGAACTTGTTTGTGTATGCGTGTAATATTTTTACATAGTACACATATGATTAAAGTGGGTAGGAAAATAAGCTTAAAGGCAATAACTGAAGACCTAGAACTGTTTGCAGAGCCAGTATTCGACTGCACCCTGGTGTAATGCATCTTCTATTCTGATGCCATGGCATTTTTTGAGTAGACACATGTGGTCACATCCACGCCGCCCAACTTACACAGCTCCTCATTGCTCACATGATCTTGCATCTCATTTACCTTTCAAGCTTCATCTCCCATTATCTCTAAATCTTCCCTTCCTTGCAGGTGGACCCTCCTGTCAGTTTTTGCGCAGACATGTTCTTTCCAGTGCCCGCAGTGCCCTTTGCCTGCTTTTCCTGACTCACTCCTATTGCCCTTAAGACCCACTTCTTGGCAGGCCTTGGTGGCTCATGCCTGTAATCCCAGTACTTTGGGAGGTCAAGGTGGACAGATTACCTGAGGTCAGGAGTTTGAGACCAGCCTGGCCAACATGGTGAAACCCCGTCTCTACTAAAAATACAAAAATTAGCCAGGTGTGGTGGCAGGCACCTGTAATCCCAGCTACTCGGGAGACTGAGACAGGAGAATCACTTGAACCCAGGAGGTGGAGGTTGCACTGAGCCGAGATTGCACCACTGCACTTCAGCCTGGGTAACACAGCAAGACTCCATCTCAAAAAAAAAAAAGACCCGCTTCTTGACTGTTTCCAACTGTCTTGTTCTTCCTTAACATAGTGTGTATATCTGTTAACAGCAGCACTTATAATTACAGTAGCATTGCTGTAATTAATATCCTTGCCTGTCTGTTCTACTAGACTGGATCTAAGTAGTGACTGGGGCTTCAGCCAGGCACAGTGGCTCACTCCTGTAATCCCAGCACTTTGGGAGGCCGAGGCGGGCAGATCACGAGGTCAGGAGTTCGAGACTACCCTGCCCAATATGGTGAAACCCTGTCTCTACTAAAAATACAACAATTAGCAGGGTATGGTGGCATGCGCCTGTAGTCCCAGCTACTCAGAAGACGGAGACTAGAGAATCACTTGAACCCGAGAGGCAGAAGTTGCAGTGAGCCGGTATGCCACTGCACTCCAGACTGGGTGACAGAGGGAGACTCCGTCTCAAAAAAAAAAAAAAAAAAACTAGATTGGGGCTTCATGACTGTGTATTTGGTATGTAGTTACACTCAGTATTTTTTTTTTTTTTTTTTTTTTTTTTTTTGAGACAAAGTCTTGTTCTGTTGCCCAGGCTGGAGTGCAGTGGTGCCATCTCAGCTCACTGCAAGCTCTGCCTCCAAAGTTTACGCCATTCTCCCGCCTCAGCCTCCTGAGTACCTGGGACTACAGACACCCGCCACCACGCCCGGCTAATTTTGTTTCTGTATTTTTAGTAGAGATGCGATTTCACCATGTCAGCCTGGCTAGTCTAGATCTCCTGACCTCGTGATTCGCTTGCCTAGGCCTCCCAAAGTGCTGGTATTACAGGCGTGAGCCACCACGCCCAGCAGACACTCAGTATTTTTAGCAAGTGAAGGGATGATCCGTGCTTGAAATATGACATCATTTCATTTTGATTCCTAAAGTATTTCCAGTAAAGGGGATTATTTTTAAAAGGTCTGTTAAGCCATTTTAATATATGGCTTATGCCAAGGATCCCAGCCATGTTTTTCTTTTTTTCCCCATTTCTTCTCTCCGTAGTCCTACCATCAGTTTTTCTATAGAGTTGAATAATTGGAAAATGATATGACTTATTAGTGTTTAAGAGATTATTGGCTTTTTACTGCCTTCATACAAAAAAAAAACACTGTGAAACCGTATTTTAACTTCAGTGCTTTCTGTCTTTTTACAGGATGATGCAAATAAAAATGGTGGCAAGTGGATTATTCGGCTGCGGAAGGGCTTGGCCTCCCGTTGCTGGGAGAATCTCATTTTGGCCATGCTGGGGGAACAGTTCATGGTTGGGGAGGAGATCTGTGGGGCTGTGGTGTCTGTCCGCTTTCAGGTAAGCCACCCATGGGCCAGTCTGGTTTCTTGTGTTGCCTTTGCTCTCCTCGCTGCCTCTGATTTGCTTTGATGATTCCTTGTGTTCCTCTGATAGGAGGACATTATTTCAATATGGAATAAGACTGCCAGTGACCAAGCAACCACAGCCCGAATCCGGGACACACTTCGGCGAGTGCTTAACCTACCTCCCAACACCATTATGGAATACAAAACTCACACCGACAGCATCAAGTACGTGTTGGGGGGTTATGGGAGGATGTGTCCCTAAGCTTAGCAGAAGTAGATCTGTAGTTGGGCCCAGAGGAATATGACCGGACAGGAGACTTACTTGTGGAGAAGGGACAGACCAGGCCTTCCCTCCAGGGCTTCTGGCTACTTGCTGCAGTTCTTTGTCAGCGAGGCTCCCTGCCACCTATACTACCAGGTGCTTTGTAGCAGAGAGAGCCTGTCTGCAGAAACCCAGTTGCACTGCCTGGGCTTGCTTAATTTCTACAGGCTGTCCTGTCTTTCATATTCTAACCACTATCTTAAAATGAAAGACAAGTGCTTTTCTTTTTCTTGCTGTTTTTTAAGATAATTTCACCCTGCCCACCCTCACCCCACTTCTGCATGTCTTTTTAACTTGTTAGCTTCAGTCTGTTTTCTTTGTCCTGGGATACTGACTACTTATCAGGAATGACTCCATTTCCTTGTGTATAGAGCTGACTCATAGAAGAAGGGGGATAGTGTGTGTGTGAGAGAGCAGAATCAAAGGGAAGCATGATGGCCACAGGGAAAATAAGCTTTGCAGTCTCCCTAGGACGGGAAATAGAGCTTTCTGTCTACAGTGAGAATCACTGTTAGGCTTGCTCCTTCAGTGATTGTCAGAAGTAAGCTCAGGCTATTGTGAAAAAGTGTGGGGAGTGGCTGTCAGATTGTCTCAAAGCTGGAGGGAGAGCTAGCCAGCTAAGAGTTAGGACTCTTAGGTTTAGTTCTGTCCTATGGCCCCGTACCAATATGTGCCTTTGACAAGCGTCTTTGCAACTTTGCTTCAGTTTCTCCATCTGTAAAGTGGGAGACAGTACTTTATCTAACAAGGCTATTGTGAGGCTGATTTAATCTTTAACTGAGGGTCCTCAGATGGAGAATGCTCTTACAGGGCCACGTAGTAGTATTGCTATCATCATCATCATCATTAGTAAGAATATCATCATGTTGTTATTATTGAAGACTAGTAGTGAGCCCAGCGATTATGTTCAGCAGACAGACCGTTTGGGAATCTCTTTCCCATGCATTCACAGATAATGTTATGAGTGGAGTTGGCTTAAACCAGCTAAGTACCAGTTTTTAAGTGGGAACACTGCTATGGGAGTTGGTCCGTGATCAAACGGCTGGCATGACTCATCATAGTCACCAACAGTTATTAGCCAGCCTTGGCCCTGGTTGCTTGCCTTAGCAGTCCTGTGTTAGCATTGTTTTTCTCTAGGCACATTTTTCTTATTCTCTGTTCTGGGATAGAAGTAGTTTCTGACCTCTAGCCTCATTCAGTCCAGGCTGGAGAGATCTATACCTTTTTCTAGGATTCTTGTTTTCAAGGTTTCTAAATATCCCCCACTCCCACTCACCCCCAAAATAAGTTTTCCACCTGGATAAGAGAGGGAAAGAGGTATTTTTCATCAGTTCTCCCCTTCTCTGCTGTTCTCCCTTTCTAATACCATAAGGCAGTTCTTTGTGACTTTTATAGATATATATGTACATGTCCTGACAGAGTTTAGGAGAGCCTGTGGGCTTTTTGCCTTAGTCTGCTAGAAAGACTGGCCTGCTGCTCCCTGCTTTATCCAGAGGTCTGCCTCTGGGACTTCAGCCCTATAGCTGTAGAGACCAGAAAACCAGCCCTCTTTGAGACCCAGATGCTACTTTCCCTTGCGTCCCCCTCTCTTTCCTTTCCCAATGAGCCAACCTTTTGCACTTCCACTAGAATGCCAGGCAGGCTGGGCCCCCAAAGGCTCCTTTTTCAAAACCTCTGGAAGCCGCGGTTGAATGTGCCATGACCCTCTCCCTCTCTGGATGGCACCATCATTGAAGCTGGCGTCATCGGAGTCTCTTGTTCTGTTGGCGTGCTACCTGGAAGATCCTTCTGTCCTGGACAAGAGGAATTGGAAGAGCATTTTATGTTTTAAGAACAGGCTGACACACAGCAGCTACAACAACAGCTGAGATCACTTAATAAATGGTGCTAAACTAGCTTGTCTCATGCTCTTGCTCTTTATGGTGCATCAAAGATGTGGCCTTTCGGACTGACTGTCACCATATTAAGGGATGGCACAGACTTTTCCATGGAGGGCCATCCGGGGAATGCAGCCTCATTTCCATAAGCCCATTGTGTAGTGTCATGTGGTATTTTGTTCCAGGACTGCTGAGGCCTGACATAATAAGGTGACATCTAGCTTTCAAAATAAGACCCTATTTTCTGGTACTTAAATTTGAGGTCCCATCTAGTCACGCCGATGACCAGAACAGAGTGATTTCTGATATAGAATTCAGCTTGAAAGTCTGTTCAGGTTGGAAAGGGGGATCCTTGGCCTTTGCTTCGCTGACTTCCATTCGCCTTTACTTCAAAGAAATTTCTTGCTTGGAGGTAAATCCCTGCTTCCGTCTGTGTGGCTGTATGTATATAGCTTCCTTGCTTTGTGCTAATGGGGTTTTCTTGCTGGTGCCAAAGCTGCCCAAGCCACAGCTCTTTTCTAGCCTTCTCCCTTCTGCTTTCCCTTTAGAGCCAGGTCATCTTCCTCTTTGAGTTAGCCCTGCTTGCAAGATCTCAGGGTTATAGCCCTTCCCTTTCTCCTGGGCCCGGTGTTACTGCACATCAGGATCTGGGGTAGGGAAACGTCTTCATCCCGTGTGAGTTTGCTCTGTAGGATATCTGACCGTAGCACATATGGACCCCTTGTGTGCTTTGTGGCTTTGGCTTGTATGTGCTGCAGCTTGGCCTTTAGGCCCCTAACCTGCATGTAGAGTTTCAGCAAGCCTCATGCTACTTTAGGTTTTCTTAGGAGCTACCACCAAAAACATAATAAAGAATCTTTTTTTTTGCAAACACTGGGTCAGTCGGCCTGAGAGGATCTGTGAAAGTGGCTGTGGATTTAAGGTTGAGTTTTCCAGAGTGGCTGTTCCACTTTGGCAGTGATACCCTGTGCTTGTACCATCCTGACTTACCCCTGATCTCCATGTGGCCCAAGATCCTGCATAACACCTATTAGGATTAGCACTGTGGGCTCAATATTCTAGGGGTGTTTGTGTCATTGCATCTTTGTTTATTACCTATCCAAAATTGGTTGAAGTACCTATAAAATGAGAGATTTGCTGGAATATGGAAAGGCCCGTTCTCTACGTTTTTAGTATTTGTCAAAGAATTACCTTCTCTTGCCTTCAAAAAGTGTTACATGTATTAACCTTAATTTCGGCTGTATTGTAACTTTTCCGGGAGGGAGGCTTGATGTCACCTCCCAGAGTCAATGTTGATTAGAAAGCACCAAACTGACCTCGAGACCCTTCTGATCCTTGTCAGTATGAACAAAAGTCAGAAGTACTTCTGCTTTCTTCTATTCCTTGTGGCTCTTCCATGGATATGGCTTTGTTTGAGCCAAGGAACAGCAGCTACTGAGACTCAAGAATTCCAAGGAGGCTGGGCGAGGTGGCTCATGCCTGTAATCCTAGCACTTTGGGAGGCTGAGCCGGGCAGATCACGAGGTCAGGAGACCAGCCTGGCCAACATGGTGAAACCCCATCTTTCCCAAAAATATAAAATTAGCCGGGCATAGTGGCCAGCACCTATAATCTCAGCTACTCGGGGAGGCTGAGGCAGGAGGATTGCTTGAGCCCAGGAGGCGAAGGTTGCAGGGAGCCGAGATTGCGCCACTGTACTCCAGCCTGGGCAACAAGAGCAAAACTCCATCTCAAAAAAAAAAAAAAAAGAATTCCAGGGAAAATGAAGGAAGAAGGAGCCAACATTCATTTTCCTGCGAGTACTCTGAAGATAGGGCTGCTGGTGGTGAGGGGGGTTTTTTTAGGAGTGGCTTAGATCTTTCAGTCAGGTGTTCCTGATTCCTGCTTGCTATTTTTGGCCCAGTTTCCAATGTCCTTCTTCAACTGTTGGGTTTTTCCAGCCTTTCCCTAATCACACTGCTTATGGCCTTTTCCTGCTGCTCCCCTCAGTGTGCTACAAGGCACTGCCTGCCACACAGAGCAGGCAGGTGATGAGCTGCTGTGCTGCAGAGGGCTCCTGCTCTTGTTTATAGCTGACAGTTCACCCCTAAGAAGCGGACAACTTGTTAAACTGAGTTTTTGCTCAGGTCGTAGCTCCTTTTAATGAGGCCAACTTGTAGTCGAGTTTTCATAGATGTGGGTTCCCCATATTCTCTGCTTTGAGGAGAAATCTCATAATGCAGTGAGAATCATGGGGCTACCAGGATAAAACTGGGCTCAGAACCATATGAAACACCAATGTCTTTTGTGAAGAAACTCCTCTTTGGATAAGTCCCACTGATTCCTTTTGTGCATCTAGCCTGGAATGGAAAAGGAAAACAGGCCAACTTCCCATAGTGGACTACAGCACTGGAAAAGACTGGCCCAGCTTCTCTGCAGGAGTGGAGGGTGGGTGATTCTCTTTATTCCTTTATCTTAGAGGGGAGACAGGTCAAATTGTGGGGACTTTCCCACGTCTAAATATCATTGTATTTCAACACTGAACTTTAATATATAGGCAAGGACTAGCCCATTCCCTTCTCCTGGCATGGCTAAATCATAGGCCAGTAGCACCAGGTTACCCCAGCTTAATTGCTGGCCTGGCTTTGCATCTGTGATATGTACCACCAAACTGGTAGTCAAAGCAAAGAGCCCAGATTAGCAAGAGGCTGAGCCCCTCCCTAAGTATAGAGAGCTAGTGAGTGCAAGACTGCGAACCTTGCAGGCTTTGGGTGGAGGTAGGGGAAAGTAGAATTGCACAGGATTTGCTTTCTGGTATGTGAGATGGGACAAGAGTGGTCTTAAAAGAACTCTTTGTTGCTCTGTCTTTTGAATCTGTTCAGAATTCCCTGTTGGCTATATTAATCTCAGTAATTTCTGTTTTTAGAAACTCCAGTCATATGACACTTTTTACATTTAACTTGTTCTTTCTTTACCTTTAAAAGAAGAAAGTTGTAATATTACCCAGTATGCCTGGAATGCCAGATGGAAAATAGCTGGACTATTCACACCTAGCTTTAGGTAGTAGATTTGCCTTTTGGCCGAGCTCTGGGCCTATGAGAATAAGAGTGATTATACCAAAGATTATGGCCCAGTATTTTATTTCTGCTGAATCCATGTGAAGAAATTTCTTTCTTTTTTTTTTTTTTTTTTTTTCTGAGATGGAGTCTTGCTCTGTCACCCAGGCTGGAGTGCAGTAACGTGATCTCTGCTCACTGCAACCTCTGCCTCCTGGGTTCAAGGGATTCTCCTGCTGGGAGAATCCCAGTAGCTGGGATTCTCTCCAGTAGCTGGGATTACAGGTGCCCGCCACCACACTCGGCTAATTTTTTTGTATTTTTATCAGAGACGGGGTTTCACCGTGTTTGCCAGGCTGGTCTTGAACTCCTGACCTCAGGTGATCCGCCTGCCTCAGCCTCCCAAAGTGTTGGAATTACAGGCATGAGCCGTGGTGCCCGGCCGTGAGGAAATTTCTTAACCCAGATTCTTCATGTTGAGGTTTAACATATAGTGAAGATACTAATGAAGAAACTGGGAGGGGAATATAATACTGGAATGGAGTAGGACAGAGCCATGAAGTCCGTATTTCTTCAGGTTCTTGACAGAGAACTGCTCAGTGTAGGCTAGTGTAAGGATGGCCCTTCCTGGAAACAAAAGGGTAAATGACATGAAGCTTCAACACAGCCATGTAATTTCTTGTTGACACCTAAGTGGTTTTAAAAGGAATTTAAATTTCACTATTACAGTGAGGGGTTTCCCTGGGTCATTGCTGAAGCATTGGATTTTGCTTTGCCCTTGTCTTCATTTGGAGTAAAGAGTGAGATTGCCTTCTGATGTCACTCAGGGATTCACAAAGTGCATCACATCACCATCTTTCCAGAAAGAGCTCTGAAACAGGTGTCTTGCTGTGGACACTGAGTTTGGGAATTGACAAAGACTGGCATACTTGTTTGGCAGTCTTACATTTTTCCTTAATTTAGTTAGCACATACACTAGGAGCTTTCGTAATAATTCTCTGAAGAAAACATGAACTGCAGATCTACCTCCTCTAAGAGGTAGATGGTTAACTTATAAATGTAGTGTATTGTCACCCTGGGTACTATGTCACCAAATTAAACCAAGAATGGAGTAACAATAATGAGGAACTTCAGACTTAGAAGCACCATATTTTATTTATAATTCCCAAGGAACTCATCAGTTTGGGGCTGAAAAGTGGCTAGGGCTTAGGGAGGAAATCAGCTCCCCTGAGAAAACTTGAGTTTGAGCCTCCAGAAGCATAGGGGATCTGGTTTTCTCCTGTGACTAGTCCAGCAGTCACCAAGAGTCTTTTCTCTGTGGAGCACCATTCTGAAAGGCCACGTACCCCCTCTGTCACATTTCTTATCCCTTCCCAACCTAATTTCAGAATTAAGCTAATCAGCATGAAAATTGTAATGGGCGTTGTTCCCTGGAAATTTTGAACTACCGTGACTTGAAATTTTCAGATAGTAGTTACATAAGCACTTAAGAAAGGTGGAAACTGACACATTGAAAGTCTGAGTGTAGAAGGGTAGAAGGTTGGAAATATGAAAGCAGAGAAAGTGTATACTTTCCTCCTTGCATCTTTAGACATAATGCTGTTGGGAACTGGCCTTTACCCTCAGTGAGGCCTGATGAAGAAAAATTGTTTCTGCCACCTGTGCACACATACCCAAGGCAGAAAGGACAGGGAGTGTCACTGTAAATTGGAAGTGTTTTTGGTGACAGTTGAGCGTCAGCTCTGACCTTACTGGCCTCCCCTGGAGCCTTGTTGAAGGAACACTGGTGCAAATCCTTGAGGGAACAGGGGCAGACTTCTCAAGTGAAGCAAGCAGAAGTGCCCGCTGGCCCTGAAAGGGTAGGCTGCACTGCTCCTCGGAAAGGAATGTCCAGTGGGACCTCGCTGCTCTGCTCCCAGGTACCTGTGGCTCCACTCAACTTGGAGGGCATTTGAAGGGGGATGTGGGGTTATTGTGTCTGCTCTCTGTGTTCAAAAGCTTTTGATCTGAATGTGCTATTGTGTTTTTTTGTCTCTGGTTTGCCAGGGCCTGGGAGGAGTTTCATGGCCTGGTGAACAGCAGCGGCCGCTGATCGGACGCTCCCCCTCTGTCTCTCACACTCAGGGTAGGGCCTTGTCTATCTTCTCTGTAACCCTGTGACATACCTCTCATTCGTAGGACCCCTCTTCCCATTTACCCCCAAACTTGCCGCTGTCAACATTGAGCCTCAGAGAAAAACATAAGTCCTAAACCACTGGATTCTCATCCTCCCTGGGTCCCATGTCTCCTGGTGAACCCCTGAGCAGGCCACTTCACCTTATTATGCCCCTATTTTCTCATCTGAAAAGTGAGGCTCCATGGATGAAAAAGTCTCTGAGATCTCTTTTGATGCTAACATTTCATGATGGTAAACGTGCCACAGATGCTTTTTCTTTTTTGCTCAAATGCCATTTTTAAGCCATCTGGCAATGTCCTATGACTAAAAGGGCATTTCCACAGGCCCCAACATGAGTTACATGAGAGGTATGTCTCCTGTTTGCTGGTGTCATGTGTCAGTTGTGAGGAAACGGTAATATAAATTCAGGGTTTCCGCAATGTCAGTAGTGGGGCTGGATTTCAGGGCTGTGTGCGTAGCAGTTGTTCCAAGCTGTACTTTCACTAGACCAACGCAACTGTACTAGCAGGGAGAGGCACTGAGATACAAAGACTGAGGCAACTAAAGCATTGACTTTGGGAATATTTGTATTTCAGTTAAGAGAGTATCAAGTCCATGTTTGTCTCTGTAGCAGAGGGAGCTGGGTGAATTTATTCTGAATGAGAGGAATGGATGAAAGGCCAATATCTGCATGTGCTGGAGATGACAGCCTTTTCCTGGATATCAAACTGTCCCTGCCACTAACATCCCTAAGAAATAGAGTATTTCTGAAATTGGAACAGAACATGTCAATTGTAATAGCTACCTCAGAATTCCCCCTTCCCAAGAAGGAGATGAGTGCTTTCCAGAAAAGGAGACCTGCATCCCTCACGTGGACTAGAAGAGACAAGATGACACTCTGAGGGACAGCAGCAGGTGGCCAGGGGCCTGAGACATGGGCTGGAAGAGACAAGATGACACTCTGAGGGATAGCAGCAGGTGGCCAGGCCTGAGAGCTCGGGGGTGTAGGTATGATATACAGATAAAACTAGTTGCAGAGTTCCTGCACACACAAGTGATGCCACCCATACCTTTTTTGTCTTGATAGTTTGATTTCTTTATTATAAATTCAGTCTTCTGGTGGTTCAAAATTTAAAAGGATTCTCTTTAAGATGTAGTCAACATTCGTGCCTGGTATCATGGCACATGTCTATTGTCTCAGCTACTTGGAGGCTGTAGTGGGAGGATCACTTGAGTCCAGAAGTTCAAGGCCAGCCTGGGCAACATAGTAAGACCCTGTTTCTAAATATATGTCTGTGTATTTGTGCATATATATAAGTGTCTGTATATATAGTCAACATGGAATTCCAAGAGGTCTGCTAGTATACACAAAGAGGGAGGAAAAAGGTACCAGCTCTAATAGTAGATAAATCATTGATTTGTAAGGTAAAAAATAGTAAATATTTGAAATAAGATATTAAGTTAAATTTTCAGAAGCCAGGTACTATAATGGAGCTATTTTAAAAATACTACCATATTTAATTATTTCTAAGGTTTTTTTTGGCTTTTAATATTTTTTTCAATCCTGTTTCTTCTGTAAGGCTTTTAATATTCTTAAAATTGGGTTGCTTGGCTGGGCGCAGTGGCTCACGCCTATAATCCCAGCACTTTGGGAGGCCAAGGCGGGTGGATCACGAGGTCAAGAGATTGAGACTATCCTGGTCAACATGGTGAAACCCCATCTCTACTAAAAATACAAAAATTAGCTGGGCGTGGTGGCACGCACCTGTTGTCCCAGCTACTCGGGAGGCTGAGGCAGGAGAATCACTTGAACTCAGGAGGCGGAGATTGCAGTGAGCCGAGATCGTGCCACTGTACTCCAGCCTGGCAACAGAGCGAGACTCCATCTCAAAAAAAAAAAAAATTGGGGATGCTTAGAGTGAATGTGATTTAAAAGGGTTTTGTCACTGTTTAATGGGCAGTGTTTATTTCTTAAAGTACATAAAATGATGTACCTTTAAAAATTGATGGCATCTGAGGTTCAGTGAAAAGTCTTTAAAATGAAAGTAGAATAGTCAGAATGGAAGAAAACTCAAAATGACTCCCACCCCTCTTGGCAGACACTAATCCCCCAGGAAAAATATCTTTGAATTGCTGTAAAAAGTCATATATTTGCATAATTGCCATTTTGTGGTCTCTTTGTGGCCCCTGTGTCTTTTTTACACAGTGTGGGAGGCAGACGAAGAGAACACTCATGGTTCAGGTATTTTCCTTAAAGCACGGGCTTGGAAGTCCGTGAGGAGTGTTTGAATTTAAACCAAAAATTATTCTGAAAGTGGGGGAGAAAATGAATTTACACAGCAACAACAAAAAATCCCCTCACTTCATTGTCTTAATAGACTTGAAAAGGACTTCATGTTGCATCTCTATTGATTTAACCTCGCTGTAAGTGAAAGAGATGTTCTGAGAAGATATGCATCCCTAGCTTATGTTTGTTGGGACTGCCATTTTAGAGGCCCCTTAACATTTTAGCCCTCTTTCCCTCTCTCCCTTTTCTTTTTCCTCCACACAGATCGGGATCTATAAAGAAATTTGGTAGAAAAACTGCTATTTAAATAATTCTTGATGAATCATAAATACTTTTTCTCAATTTATCTGCTATTTTATGTCATTACATGTGACTGCTAGTATTTTAGGACAATTTCATTTGACTTGCGTTCAAATAAGTATTGTCCTTTTAACTATGACTTCAGTAAAAGTGTCAGTGAGCTGCTAGGAAAGGATTCTGATTACTTAGCTGTCTGGGCTGGTATACACAGAACAGTGAGTCTATATTGTTGGGAAATGAAGTTGGAATAAAATAAAGTTGAAGATGAGAGACTGGAATTTGCCTCACTGAAACTAGAAAAGAGTTTGCAGCTTTACTGAATATGCAGGGAGAGAAGAGGAAGCCAGAACTGGCCTGGGGTGGACAGCTAATGGCCAAAGAATGTTCTCCTGAAGACCGTGTGCGCTTAGGTCTACAGTACCACTCAGAGCCACCCCTCAGAGCCACTCTTCAGAGCAGAGACATAGGTAGCCTTCCTCCTTGGATGACTCCCAGCTTTCACTTGAGAACCCAGAATCACTTAGGTGCCCTTGCCAGGCACCAGCACAGTGGCAGGTAACTCCAAAGAGGCGGGGGCATTCTGAATGACCAATTTGCCCCTCTGTCATCCATTTTCAGGAGTTAATCTCTGCCGTAGCTCATTGTTTTCAGAGTTGGAACTTGTCCATTTCTCTAAAAGTACTAAAAGATGACCATTTTAAGGTAGAGCAGATTGGAAAGCTATTTCAGAGTATTTGGACAACTATTTTCCCCAAGATACCTGGGAATGTGAAGTTGGAAGCCATTCTGAATGGGGCTCTCGGATATTTCTGAGACATCATCAGGACAAAGGAATATCCGGTAGAGAAAGAATTCTATTTTTTTCTTCCAGCATTGTGGGACTGTCAGCTTCTATGTCCTCTTTGGTGTCCTAAGCATAGCCCATGCGCTATCACAGCTTTGCCAGATTACTAGAGGTCCAGCTTTCAGGAGCTCACTGTGGATTTGCTAAATTTTAGTTTGCTTTTAAAAGAACAGAAGCACGTTGTTTTTTAAAGGGTCATCTGTGACCTCTGCCCCTTCCTGTCTACTTCTCCCTTTCCTGCCTCCTAATCTCTCTGTGCACTGAGCCCAGGGTGAGGGATGTAATGGAGTATCACTTCCCAGCTGGCTTGAGGTGAACACATTCCTCAGACCAAATTTGGCATCAAGCTGTTCTCAACCCACTTTTTTAAAGAAGGCTGGACCAAAGCCATAGGGCCTCACTGCCACCAACCTGTGTTAGTCTGTCACTGTCAGGAGCAGGCTACCCCCACTTGCTGTTCTGTTTTCCTCTTAAATCAAATTGGAAAAGCACAGCTGGATTCTCCTGGCTTTTCCTTTACTCTTCTCCTCCCCTTTTTCACTTTGCAAATAGACCTTAGAATATGATTTCTTAGGTTTTCTGACAATAAAGTGGTCTATAATAACAAAAATATTAAATATCTGAATGAGGCCGGGCGCGGTGGCTCACGCCTGTAATCCCAGCACTTTGGAAGGCCGAGGCGGGCGGATCATGAGGTCAAGAGATCGAGACCATCCTGGCCAACATGGTGAAACCCCGTCTCTACTAAATATACAAAACTTAGCCAGGCGTGGTGGTGCGTGCCTGTAGTTCCAGCTACTTGGGAGGCTGAGGCAGGAGCATTGCTTGAACCCAGGAGGCGGAGGATGCAATGAGCCGAGATTGTACCACTGCACTCCAGCGTGGTGACAGAGTGACACTGCATCTCAAAAAAAAAAAAAAAAAAAAAATCTGAATGAGAAAGTGTTTTTAAAGCTCTCCAGTTTATCTGCTACAGAGAAAGAATTTATTTCTGCCCCACCTAGCATAATAGAGGAATTCTTCCAAAAGATAAGATGACCTGCTTATGGTAATGATTACCCTGAAAATCCTCTTTCCATCACTAAACAGCTGAAAGAGTTGGGGCCAGACACTTGCTTACCATCTCCTTCATTCCAAGATAGATAATTCTCCAAGTCAGCAAATTCTCTGCTCCTACCTTCCCATACCCCTGACTTTCTAGTCTCTCTTTTAATAAGAAGAGCAGAATCCCTACTGATAGACTTCTGGTGTTCAATGATTAGATGGGCATAGAGGTGTCAGTAAAAGGGAAGAAATGGAACACAGCCATCTGTTCCTGTGTAATCACTTTCTTTAGTATTAACTGTAGGTACAAAAAAAAGTGTCTTTTATAATGCATCTCTGTAACACAGCACATTGTCCCTAAGAGAACTCAGAAATAACACACACGCACACAAACACACAAACACACACACACACAGCAGTTGTGCTTGCTTTTCTCTGTGTTATGATCAGGTATGTTCCTTATCCTTTGCTAGCTACTTGTAGCATCTCAGAGGGGTCTATCCTTTTGAAAGGAGTTTTTTTAAAATACCATTGGCCTTTTAAAAAGATGACCACCCTATTAACTTGGTTTTCAACCTTCAGCTCTTTAGTTGAAGATAGTTGAAGTGCTAAGTAGCCATTGATAAATGAACCACACGGTTGTCATGCCAGCTGTAAAATACCAGCGAACTTTTGAGATAGCATCAGTTTATTCCCAGCCTGAGTTCACCTATCCCAGCTCCAGTTTCCCTTCTCAGTTCTTGTCTGCAGTCATTCTCTTTGTGTAGTGGGGGCTGTTGGTCACTGTCAGCTGACCGCCATCATGGAGGAGGATCTGTTAGCCAGTAACAGAAAGAAACTGCTGTTTGGCTGGGCTGAGCATATTCTTTCCTTAGCACATATTTACTCTGAACCAATTGCCATATGTCCCGTTAATTATAACAATTTTAAGATAGGTCAGGCTGGGCTTGTAATCTCAGCGCTTTGGGAGACCATGGCCAGAGGGTCACTTGAGCCCAAGAGTTCAAGACCAACCTGGGCAACATAGTGAGATACTATCTCAAAAAAACAAAACAAAACAAAACAAAACAAAGGTCAAAGCCAGAGCTTCTAGAATGTCCCTTTAAAATGAAAGAGAAATAATGACTCCAAAATCCAGGTAAAATTTTCTGACAAATTGAAGTCCAAAGCACTGGGCAAGGGCAGCAACTGGTTGCCTTTAAAGTCCCTGCCAGCCTGAAATGTTGAGACTCAGATGGTGATGGACCTGCTAAGATGTCATTAGATTTCTAGGGTGGGACAGGAAAGGTCACTAGTGGCTGTCCAAGCCTGTCTATATCCAATAAAAGGCAACTAAGAGGACACATATTGGGATCCCCCACATACATAACACGCACACACACACACACGCACACACACACATTGAATAATTAGAACCATGTTTGTAAAGTGAAAGGTACCCAGATTTTACTTCCTGGAATATCCTTTCCTTCTGTAAGCAGCTCTGAGTTTTAAACTGAGGATTCTTATTTGGTTGGTTGTTTTTTTGTTGTTGTTGTTGTTCACATAAGACCAGGTGAATCACACAGTGTTTTCAAAAGTGTGTTGTTAGATTAAAAGAAGAAGGGGAGAGAGACAGAATGTCTCCTTCTCAGGCTTCCTCCATCTGCCCAGTTTCTAGTGTGCCCCTTCCACCTCCACTGCCCCAGGTAACCACTGTTGTTGGTTTCCTGTGTAGCCTTGCAAAGTTTGATAATGCATATATGAGCAAATATGAACCTATAACCTTGTTTCCCTACCCCCACTTACACAGAAGGTAGCATACCATGTATACACACTCTACTTTAAGCTATCAGTTTATCTTGGAACCCTTTCCACAGCAGTAGAGAGCTTCCTGTTTTATTTCTATGAATGTGCCCTAGCATTAATATTTAACCAGTCCTCTCTTGATCTGCATTTGAATTGTTTCTAATCTTTTGCTGTTGCAAAAAAATTGAATGGAAGTTTTACAAGGGACTTGGGAGGTGGGTTGCTGTTTTGGCATTAGATTGGCAAGTGAAGAAGGCCCCGGGATATGTCATGGAGACCCCAAGGGCTGATGAGTCAGCTTCCCCCTGTATATATGTGCTTCTATATAGATGATCCTTGTATTGAACACTCTATTTTCTCCCATTTTTTTCTTTCAGGGACAATTCAAGCTTTCGAAATACAAAAATCACATTGTGAAAGTACACAAGCTGGCAATAATCCTTTTCTGTATGTGTGTGTTTGTCCGAAATGGATGGGAGGCCTCCAGCCAGTCCTTCCATTGCTCACTGAAGGGACGTCCCTGAGCTGTGCGCTCCCCTTTTGCACTCATTCCTGGAGGACGGATTCCGCTAGACACCCTCCAGCATCGCTGACTTTATAAGGCGGAAAAACGGAAAACGTGACTTTGTAATAGACAAACATTGTTTTTTAATGGGGTTCCGTGGGGGGCGTTCAGCCTTTCTGTTTGCTGTGTCCTGTCCAGATGCCTCTTGGGCATCCTGTTGTTCTCTTCCCGTGCTGTACGAAGGGTACCATGGCCACGTGTAGATGCCAGAGCTGTTGATGAGAGTTACCAGTATTATGAATGTCTGTGCATCCAGGAAAAGCTTTCTGTTGGAGAGTCCCAGAATAGCTGTAAATGCTCTCTTCTAGCTATGCCATTAAATTATTGGGACACTTTGTTTCTTTCTCTCCCCTCCTCCAAGCCCACCACTTTCTGAAGCTGTGTTACTGATGCGATGACTGTCCAGGATTTTGTATCATCCCCTGCCTTATGCCCTCCAGTCTCCTCTCCTGTGGGACTCTCTCTTTCTTAGGCACAGCTACACTTAGAATTGTAATCCAGTGACTCTTACTGATTTCACTGAGGCAGCTTAGAGGGAATGCCTTAGTAAACTGAACTGGAGCAGAATCTAGTTTGATTAGGAGCTAGATTATAATCTAGGTTCCAAGTACAGAATTTGGAGCTGAGGACAGTGACTGAAATCTTTTCCCATATGAGCAGAGCCTGTGTGTCAGGCCTGTTTCCCGTATGAGCAGAGCCTGTGTGCAAGCCTATTTCTGGCATGTCCCTCATTGAGGAAGGGAAGCAAAAGCTGGTTATTTGCCAGGCCTATTAACACTTAGTATGCAAATTCTATCATCCTGAAACTGGGGCATCTGAGGAAAAGGCGACCTTGCTGGATGGCTTTATTTGCATGGCTCTGCCTGTCTGCAGTGGTTGAGTCCTTATCACCTGGTATGTGTATGAGCAAATGTGTGCTGATCGTGATGCCCAGGCAGAAACCTCTTGAAGACTACTGCAGGTATGCTTTAAAAATGACCAGTCACTCATCAGAGAAGCTGGGTGATCTGACTCCCGAAGGACTGAAGTCAGAGAGGTCAAAAGAGCACCTAGGATTCAAATAAATTGAGTCAGAGTCCTATAGCAACGTCCAAGTAGCACTGTCTTATTTGGCTCTTGTGAGCAAAGACTGCAGTACCTTAAATTAAGGCCTCTCTTTAAAACATATCCTTGAAGACTAGGGGATCCTTGGCCACCTGGTCTCAGAGAAATTATATGAGAATAACAGGCATTTCCTTATTGTATTTATATTACTCTCCTCCTACTTTTCCTTTCCTGAACACCCTCTAATTACCACTGTTTTGGGGATGCTTTTTTCCTGAAAGAATGGGGAGTACAGGGGCCAAAAGGGAGGTGCTTCTATTACAGGTCAAGTTAGATAAGATCTAGCAGTGATTTAAACTCCAGGAATATGAAGAGTGCATTCTAGTGTCCAGACAGTTGTGAAGGGCTCGGCAAATGTAAGAGCACCATTGGCTACATGGGGAGCAAAGGCTGTCTTTGAAAACCCCAGGGAGGTCTTCACTTTTGCCTAAACTCAGATTTGCCATGAAAATTCCAAAGAGATCTGATATTTGGATTTGCCCTCCTTTGGGCATCTACCTGACTGTTATGTGTGTGGGGAAGTCAGTGTGTATGTGTACGGCATGCTTAGGAGTGAGTGAGTGGTCAAGCCTACTGGTTAGGTGTGTTGTCCATAGTTTTTCTTTTTTTCTTTTTTTTTTTTTTTCAGAGTTTTGAATCTTATGTTTTCTAGAGCTGCTTATGTTTCCCCTTCCTCTTTGTCGTTGTAGTATTTGACAGTTGTCTTTTCCATCCAAAACATACTGCCCTTAGGCTGGTTAGAGCAAGGGGTTATGTCTGTTAGGCAGCATCTTACCCCCAGTGTTCTCCCAGATGTTCTGCCTAACAGGTTTAAGTGGGAGATTAAATAGTCAGTTTATCTAAACCCTCTATTTTTCCAAACTAGCTTGAGAGGTCTTTTCATCTATTTTTACTCCATGGGCTTCTGATATGCTGAGATGTGACATGGTTATGATTATGGTATCACCTGTTATAGAGACAAAGGGAGAAAGGTCTACCAGGGCCAACGTAACCAGAATGTGAGGAGAGTGGAGAGTCGGTCTCCACTTTGCACAGTTGGGGCTGTTCTCCTCTAACCCCTTTGCTGGGTTTTCTGTTTGAAATTGGCCCCTACTCCTCTCCAGAGCTCTGCTTTTTGAATCCTCCTGTTCGTGTGTGTGTGTGTGTGTGTGTGTGTTTTCCCTGTGATACTGGCAGTGGCAATAATTTTCCATCCAGAGAGAAGCTTGTGGTCCACAATGCTCGAAGAATGAATTTCCAAGTATTTGCCAGTGGAAATGGAGCAGAGGCTATGACAAGAGTGATTTAGTGTTGCACTTTCAGAGCAATTATCTACTGCAGTAATAAATGGAAAATATCAGCAAGAACCAGGTTGTGGACTTGTTAATACAAGGGAACCGGGGGTATTGTTACTAATTCTACCCTTCAGTGTATGAGTCTCAAGCTTAACTGCATCCCAAAACGAAATATGTGGAATAGTCCAGGCAATGTCAATCTCAATGACACAAATGTATTGTGGAAATATTCTCTAATTGATATTAATCATTGCCACAACTCAATTTACATTTTTATTATCAAAATATAGTTGGTAACTCTCCTTAACTTGGGGTAAGGAATATTGGAATAGAAGAAAGTTTAAAGAATTTGATTTTGACGTAAAAAATCACTCAGCCTAAGCTTGGAATGTTTTTGTTATATTAAGTAGCTTAGCCTAAAGAGGGACACATGGGCATGCCAATGGCTGGTGCCCACGGGAAACACTGAGGGAGAAAAAGGCTTTGCTGAGCCTCAGTTATTGTTGACAAAAGATTTAAAACAATACAGTCTTGAGACTTAGTTTCTGTAGATAGAAATCTCCTCTCTGTGTCTATCAGTCATGGTCCAAATAGGAGATAGAAACCATGCCAGTTCAACAATGTGATAAAAAGAATTACTGACACACTAATCAAAAAAGCAAAAAACCCACACAAGAATGAAGTAGCAATTTCCAGAAGTGCTCTGAGGATGGGTGTTGCTCACCTGGTCCTGGGTCTTTGAGCCCATCATGAAGCTGGTTCTGAGCAGGTCAGAAATGACAACTGGGATCACCTGCAGCGTGGACGCTTCCCTCTACTGGCATCTACTGGAAAAATCCAACAGGATGCCAGCTGGCAAAGCAGAAATGTTTGTGGAGTTCTATCCCTGGTATCACAAAAGCAGAGCTAAAAAGAGCGGGTGTGGAACTGAGAGACAAGAGCTTCCTAACTGGCACAGCCCCTGTTAGCTACTCAGCATCTGCGCACAGCCTTCTACACCTTTGAACTTCTGTCCCACCAGAAAAGCAATTATTTGTGCCCAAGAAGATGTAATTAATTGGAAGCTGTTACCCTCTCTCAAAAATGAGGACATGTAAAGCCCACCAGTCACTGTCAATCTCAGAGCTGTGTTGACTCTTCTAATTCAGTTTCAATCCCTTCTGAATAGAATACAGAACAAGAGAATGGTACCCAAACACTAAAGGGTAAAGTTTACTTCCAGAAAAATTTGCATGAAATGATGAGAGAAGAAAATTTGTGCACATAACAAGCAAGAATATGTACATCAGCCGGGCTCGGTGGCTCATGCCTGTAATCCCAGCACTTTGGGAGGCCGAGGTGGGTGGATCATGAGGTCAGGAGTTCGAGACCAGCCTGGATAATATGGTGAAACCCCGTCTCTACTAAAAATACAAAAATTAGGTGGGTGTGGTGGCGTGCTCCGGTAGCCCCAGCTGCTCAGGAGGCTGAAGCAGGACAATCGCCTGAACCTGGGAGGCAGAGGTTGCAGTGAGCCGAGATAGCGCCACTATACTCCAGCCTGGGCGACAGAGTGAGACTCCATCTCAAAAAAAAAAAAAAAAAGAATATGTACATCATCTATAATGATCTTGAGGCTGTCGGTTATGTATCACTTCCTTTTCCACTGCCTATTCTGTATTTTCTTTGCCCTCAGCCAGGATCTCCTCTGGTCAGGATTCTTTTTTGGGTATGATTGATCCAAACCTTTATTCCTAAGGTGTCTGAATTAGTTGTCCTTCCTTTGTTACAGTCTTTTGTTTTTGCTATTTGTAAGAGGGACCCCAGAAAATTATGGGTTCTAGACAGTTCTCCCTGGCCCTGGAATGTAGCAGCGTTTGTTTTCCCTTGGTAATACACCCGAGTCACTAAACCCCTTGTTTGCTTGTTGGTTCAGTGCCTAGAAGGGCCCAAAACAGCAGGTGAGCCTCAGGGTATGATTCAGTGAGCCGTTGTTCCCTGGAAGCGTTCCTCCTTTAAAAACCAAGCCCTCCAAACCAGCAGAACTCCAGCTGAGGGGACAGGTGAGAGGAACCACTCCTACTTCTAGCCCTTGATTCCCGGACCCACGAATCCTGGTTATGGGAGAGACAATCCATGCAAAGCAGAACCTTTGGGGCAGCACCCAAAGGTGGTCTCCCAAGTGGTGCTGTAACAGAGTCTTCACGAGGCTATTTCGCTCTAATGTTTGTCCAGCTGCTTCCTCCTGCTGAGATGTGGTATGACTGATTACCTGGTCACAAGCCCATTGCCTCATTTTCTTTGCTGTGAAATTTGTTTCTTGATTAAAAGCAATATGGAATACTATGCTGGTGAGTAAGGCATTCCATTAGTCCACGGGTGATCATGCTGGGAGAAGCAGGAAACGCAAATTCACATCTAGAATATGCATCTATTTACATGGTTTGCCAAAGGGCAATGGAACTAATCCAGCACCATCCAGTGGAACCTCCAGTTCCTCCAATGGAGCTAATCCAGCATCACCATCACTTTTTTGGAGCTGTGTCCCCCAGCTACCTGGACGGTCCACATTTTTGGTATTTCTCATCTCATGTGATTGCCCATAGGCCCCAGGTCTGCTTTCCCTTGATTGCAGTCTTGTCTGATGTCACTTGAAAGCCTCAGCCAAATCTTGTCCCCCAGGCCTATTTCCATGAGACCTGTAACAGTGAGCTCCCCGTCAAGATCATTTTGACTCAAACAAATATCCTGGGGGGGAAAAAAAAAAAACAAAAAAAAACCTGTCTCCATTCCAACAATTTGTAGAAGTATAGTGCACTGATGGGCCAGCTGCAGGAGAGCAGGGTCCACAGGAGGCCTCTGCAGCCCTCAGAATGTCTGTCCAGCACACCTCCCGTCCAGTGGGCTGGCCAGTGTGGCAGGCAGGATGAGTGGGAGATGAATAGGAAGCTATAGGCTGTTCCCTTGAGGAGCTCGCAGTCCAAAGGGGAGAAGAAGGAATGCAGCAAATAAAGGCAAGAAAGCCTCCAAGAGGATGGGTGGCTCAGGTGTACTCCATGTGGGCCAAGTCCAGTGGGCATGTGACCACCACTCATCTGGACTCCAGAAGTGCAGACATGAGGCCAGTGGGCTTCATGCTGGAGATGTTGCCTATGGATGAGATTAGTATATTTGTAAAGTGTACCATTTATTGAAAACTGCTAGCCACTAAAATTACATGCATATTTCATTTAAATCTCACAAGAGCCCTGTGGGTTCCCCATTTCACAAATGAAGAAACAGGCAGAGGTTAAGTAACGCAAAAAGTCACTCCATGTAAGGGCAGAGATGGGATTTGATTTAGAATTCCAGAGCTCTTAAGCCTGTCACACTGATAAGTTATAGCTCACCTAGCCTGCAAGTCATTATTTTGATTGCTGGGAAAGAGGGCTTTGAATCGGATGTAGCTCCAAAATGACTCCTGCTGCCGCAGAGTGATCCTAGTAGATCAGAGGCCCCACCCCACTGGCCAAGGAGCATCAAGAGCCATGAGCAAGGCAGCCTCCCCTGGGGCCCTGGGAACGGCCAAGAGGGCACAGGAGTTTGCCAGCAAGGTGACATTTCTGTCCTTTCCCCTAATCCCACACCCGCCTCCTGACCTGAGTATTGGCCTTACCCTAAATCCATGGCATGTAGATTCCAGGCATCTCTGTTCCCTATTTCCACAACCAGACCATAAATACTCCCTTAAAGTCCCTCTGCCCACTCCCCCCGCCCCCAGCGGTTTTTTGTTTGTTTGTTTGTTTGTTTTGTTTTTTTGTTTTTTTGCATTGTTTATGGAGGTCCCTGGTGGGGTTTTGCATCGTTCCCCAGACTGGTCTTGAACTCCTGGCCTCAAGTGATTCTCCTGCCTCAAGCTCCCAAAGCTAGGGTTACAGGCATGAGGCACTGTGCCTGGCCTTATTTTAAAAAAAAATAAATTGAAGGTGAGGTCTTGGTATGTAGCCCAGGCTGTATTTGAGTGATACTCCGGCATCAGCCTCCTGAGTCGCGGGGGTTATAGGCACATGCTGCCATGCCTGGCTCTGCCCAAATTATTCTCTCCACATTTGTCCAGCAGGCCCTGTCAGACCCTCTCCGTGAACTGTATGGGAAGTAAAATTCCCACCCTGAGAGCAAAACTTCCCTTTCTCCATCTCACCCCACCTCTTCCTTGTAGTAAACATAGACAATAGTATTTCACACCAGGGCCTGCCCTCCGTCTTGACGTCTCTGTGAGGCGGCAGGGGAGGAATGCTCAGAGCACCCTCTACCTGCCGTCCTCCACCCTCTCAGGACTCCGAACGGACAGAGAAAGGGGCATCAAGGTCTTCTCCCCTGTGAGCCCAAGAAGGCAGGTAGGTCAATCCAACGTCCCCCTCCAGGTGACCTTCCTCCTGTCCCTGACAAGAGGACTGTTAACATTGATGCCCCAAGAGCCAGAGCCCTGTCCTGTGGCCTCGTGTGTTCTTCTTCGCAGGGTCCCAGCCCCCCAACCCCCCTCAGGATGTTTCCCAGAACGTGGTGAGAGCCCCTGCAGAGGCTGAGCTCATCTGTGGCCGGGCTGGCTGGGTACCACCTAGCACCAGGCTCCTGGAAGGGCTCGGGGGTCCGGCCTCCAACCCCATGCTCTCTGGCTCACAATGCCCACCATGCCCTGGCTGCAGCCACCCTGGCTGACTCACTGCCAGGCTCCTTTGCTGTCACCAGTTCCACCACAGGTTCACCTCAGCTCACTCCTGCCCCACCCATGGGCAGCACGCACACCTCTGTCTCCTGACCAGTTCTCACTTTATCTCCGAGTGATTTCCAAGACCCTTTTACAGAGGACAGGTGGCTGGTCCCTCCTGTGTGACAGAATGGCCAGAGGCCCTGGGAGGAGACCCTGCTCCTCATCTTAGCGCAGTGCTTTGTGGGAGGCTCAGATGGGCAGCCCAGGTCAGGACTATGACCTTGGAGGGACCCTCCTTCCTTACCACCCCTGGACCTATGCCCTGGCCTCCTTGGACAACTTTACACACACACATCCCCAGTATCTCCCCCACATCTAATCGATGTGCTCCTGCCCCCTGCAACAGCCTTGGCCAGCCCCACCCCATGTCGTGCTCATGCCATTGAGCCTGGCACTGTTGAAGGACCTCACATGCTGCTTCATTGAAAGCCCTGCCATATCAGTTTCGACCAGAGTTCCCAGGGTTCCGCAGATACATCCTTGTTCCCTGCTCTCATGCCATTCATTCCCTGCTGTAGAAGGCCCTCGCTCCACCCTTCACCCTGCCCACCTCCTCCACCCTTCACATACTGCCTCTTCCAGAAAGCCCCTGGTCCCCTCCCGCCCTAATCATGGGCACCTCCTATGTTCCCACAGCACTGGGCCCAAGAGATTGGAACCGCAGGTGTCCTTGTCTGTTCTGGCTGCTGGGGTAGGTTCCAAGAAGTTAGGGAGCACACCTTCCTCATCTCTGAACAGGCCTGGCATGGATGCTGGCTGCTGAGAAATTCCTGCCAAACAGATTTATAATATGCCTTAGTCATCGTGTGCTGTTCCACCTAGCACTGCTTCTCACTGAATAACTCATCTCACAGCAAATGAAGTGCAGCAGTGGGCTTGAAGGAAACCTAAATATTTCTCTCTAAAATACTGAGTATTACATAAGCGTAAAACACTACATAAATATACTAATTAAAATACTGCCGGTCGGGCGCAGTGGCTCACACCTGTAATCCTGGTACTTTGGGAGGCCGAGGCAGGCAGATCACCTGAGCTCAGGCATTTAAAACCAGCCTGGCCAACATAGCCAGGCTCTACTAAAATACCAAAATTAGCCGGACATGGTGGCTCACGCCTGTAATCCCAGCTACTTGGGAGGCTGAGGCAGAAGAATCACCTGAACCCGGGAGGTGGAGGTTGCAATAGCCGAGATCGTGCCACTGCACTCCAGCCTGGGCTACAGAGTGAGACTCCACCTCTAAATAAATAAATAAATAAATAAATAAATAAAATAACAAATAAATAAATAATAAAACGCTGTGATTGTTGGGCTGAAGAAGGCTAAATGCAGGGGGGCACTCAGCCTTTCCCTCTGCTTCCCTGATGGCAGGACAGCAACTCACAAAGACAAGAGATCCTTCTACCTCCCCTCCAGCTTTCCTGTGTAAAAGCAGAGATGGAAAATTTCCTCAAACAACTCACTCATCAACTCAGAGATGGTGCCAATGGGACCAGGGAAATTTGGGAGCTAACTTTACTCTCTTCCCAGAGTTTTCCTGCTTTTGCAAGACTCTCCTTTGTCATGTCAACACTCTACGATTTATGGCTGATTTATGGCTTTTCGCTGGGCGCGGTGGCTCACGCCTGTAATCCCAGCACTTTGGGAGGCCGAGGTGGGTGGATCATGAGGTCAGGAGATCGCGACGTCTCTACTAAAAATACAAAAAATCAGCCAGGCGTGGTGGCGGGCATCTGTAGTCCCAGCTACTCTGTAGTCCCAGGCAGAGGCAAGAGAATGGCGTGAACCCCGGAGGCAGAGCTTGCAGTGAGCCGAGATCACGCCACTGCACTCCAGCCTGGGTGACAGAGCAAGACTCCGTCTCAAAAATAAAATAAAATAAAATAATAAAATTAAAATAAAATAAAATATTTATGGCTTTTTGATAAAATACTATGTCAGGCAGAGCTTCAAGCCACTGCCTTGAGAGCTACACCTTTCAACTGAGGCTCCTCCCACGTGATGTAAACTGTGCACATTAACATAAAAATGGCTTTTCTCTTGTTAATCTATCTTTTGTTACAGAAGGCTTGTTCCAGCTATCAACTTATGAAGGTAGAGGGAAATTACATGTTCTTCCCTCAGGCTCATGTTTATGGAGGTCCCTGGTCTTACTGGTACCCCATCATCCTAAAGCGGGAATGTGAGAGCTGCTGACCTCTATGATTGAGGTTTGTTCACTGATAATAAATCATTGCTATTTGTAGCATTTCACAGATCATTTGCTTGCATTTGCCAGGGGTGTGTGTGTGTGTGTGTGTGTGTATACATATTATATTTATATATATATATATATATATTTTTTTTTTTTTAACATAGCCTTGCTCTGTCCCCCAGGCTGCAGTACAGTGGTACCACCTTTGCCCACTGCAGTCTCCACCTCTTGGGTTTAAGGGATCCTCCCACTTCAGCCTCTGGAGCAGCTGGGATTACAAGCGCACACCACCACACTCAGCTAATTTTGTATTTTTTGTAGAGATGAGGCCTCACTACGTCGCCCAGGCTGGTCTTGAACCTCCTGCGCTCAAGTAATCCTCCCACCTCAGCCTCCCCAAGAGC